TCTTTGTTGTTGGAACTGCTTTGATTGCAGCAGATCTCTTTGTTCTTGGTTGAAGAATGTATTCTTCCGATTGTACCACAGTTGACTGTTTTCTACTTCTAACTGTTGTTGGTACAGCAGTTGCCAATGTGATATTCACATTGGATGCAATTGGTAATGTGTATTGATAGCCTAGTGGTGAATTATAGACAGGTGCCTTGAATACGTAGGATGGTTGATACTTTCTAGGTCTCCCTCTTCCTCTTTGCTCTTCTTCAGGATTGTTGTTGGTCATATGGGTTAAAAATATTATTTAGTTTACTTATTCAGGAGATTCACTAGGATACTTCTACTGATACTCATCACATTCTGATTCATCAAATAAAATGCTATATTAATTTCCATTCTCCTATCACCTGATTTCAACAGAAATGGATTCTCTGCAAATGTTTTAAATTCCTCTAGAAATGTTCTGAATATTTCTGATTCTCTTCTACCTGTTAACAGTGTTAGAATGAGCTTATCATCATCAAATCTGTCATTGAATAATTCATACAGGGATAATGCCTTTTCATAATCACCATTCTTAATCAGTTCTTTTGCCAGGTATTCATATACAATTGACTCTATCATTGTATCTGGTTTGTTACAGTTGCTGACATCAATACCATCAGTGTTACCTTGCTTGATTTCATACACCATCTTGAATAATTCATTGTCTGTTTCAACTATCTTGTTCTGCTTGAAGTATTTTACATAGAGTATTTCATCTTGTAAATCATACATCTCAAATAACTCANCAAATAAAATGCTATATTAATTTCCATTCTCCTATCACCTGATTTCAACAGAAATGGATTCTCTGCAAATGTTTTAAATTCCTCTAGAAATGTTCTGAATATTTCTGATTCTCTTCTACCTGTTAACAGTGTTAGAATGAGCTTATCATCATCAAATCTGTCATTGAATAATTCATACAGGGATAATGCCTTTTCATAATCACCATTCTTAATCAGTTCTTTTGCCAGGTATTCATATACAATTGACTCTATCATTGTATCTGGTTTGTTACAGTTACTGACATCAATACCATCTGTGTTACCTTGCTTGATTTCATACACCATCTTGAATAATTCATTGTCTGTTTCAACTATCTTGTTCTGCTTGAAGTATTTTACATAGAGTATTTCATCTTGTAAATCATACATCTCAAATAACTCAAGTAATTCATCACAGTAATCATCACACTGAATAAACTTCTGAATATACTTCCTAATATTCTTCTTGATGTATTCTGCTTTGTTGCACTTGAATGTTTTCACTCTTTTTAGAATATTGATCATCTTACCATATTCATTGTTTGTTGCATAGATGTTATAGAGTGGTAATAACGTCTCTATATTATCTATTCTCTCTTCTATCAATGTTCTTTTTTCTAATTCATCTTCTAAATCAAGTATTTCTGATAAGGTAAGTTCTTTTGGTTTGATCTCTACTTTTCGACTGATTTCATGTGTTTCTTCCTCAACTGTTTTTAACGAATTGTTGAATTCATCAATGAGTTTGATTGATTGTTTGCTACTTGCCTTGTTGAATACTTCCTGTACTATATCAGGCAATGCACTTCCTTTGTTCACGTATTTCTTTAGATCTTGAATGAATTTTCTGAAATCTTTCTCAAATTGTTTGGCATTGGTCATTTCAATCAAACTCTTTGCTTTCTGTTCAATTTCTCTTAATTTTCTATCTTGTTTACTAAGAATCTCTTGAGTTTCTTTCTCTTCAATGTGTTTCTCAGTCTTCTTGTTTTCTTCTGATGCATTTCCATTTACATGAAAAAATCTTGACATTTTAGGGTTCAATAATTTGTTAAACGTAATGTTCAAAGCATGAAGGTGGTAACCTGATGCATATTTATAATTTATACACCATTTAAATAATATGTACCTACCCACTGTTCCTCATTTTCACTTTTCTTATACGGTTTTGTAAAATCTAACCTGAATAACCCATACATTTACAAATATTCAAAATATTTACTCGTGTTATGCACATTAATAACGTATTACTTAATCTTTATTATATATTACCCTATGAGACGTGTTCTAGGAATACAGAAAGAAGTTAACTACAGAGTTGAATGGCATAGGTGGGCTCTTATCTTCAAGAACGCAATGCTATTCGCTATTAGGTTGTGCTTGGGAAAAGATTTAACACCTGAAGAACGACTTTTCTTAGCTTTCGGACTTGAAAGGCTGCTAGTACTCAATGGTGTATTGTTTCTTTGTCTTTCATATACGCTGCTCAAGAAAGATGTTGATGTGTTTAGGAACACAATAGTTATATTGATGCTGTTTCTTACTGCAACGATAGTACTATCCATACAGACAATGTTTGAATTGCTAAAAGCAGATCACGTAGGGTGTCTAGTATTCTACATACTTCTATTTGTAGCAGTTGCATCAGAATCAGTATTTCTACTAACTTTCTACAAAAGAATTGGATTTGTATCAACTGGCTACATCTCAACACTAACAAGAAATCAAAAACTAACGGATGCATACCGAAAGAGGAATAGACTCACAGCACTGTGTCTCGGATACCTGATTCTTCTTTCAAACACAATTATTCGAGTTTTTACCCAGTATTTTGTTGGAATACCACAAGACGCAATTGAATCATTGCTAGTTGGTACATCTATCATTGGATACATTGGATACCAAATATCCTTATGGATTAACTTGGTATTGGAAGTTGTATTAATAGTTGCCATCGCATACAGGATCAATGAAGAATCAAAAACACAAAGAAAGGTGACTATTGCTTTGATACTCATTCTTGAAGCACTCTTAGTACTGGAATTCATAGCAATAGGCTCAGCTTATACCAGATTTAATATTGGATTAGTTACTGAAATCATATACAATACGTATGCAGCGTATGTAGTGTGGCAAGAATATCGCACACTGGATTTGGGTTTGAAGGATCTGCTTACAAAGAAGAACAAAAAGAAACGTCGTAAGTTGTAAATAAACCGCTCTAAAGAATCACTTTTCCTTCTTTCCACCCCAGACTGAATATCCTCAACAACTTCCATCAATGAGTATTCTCCTAATAAACCATTCTTTTATTCTTTCAGCAGACCTTTACGCCTCTCTCTACGACAAATATGCCATCTAGGAATATTCTTGGATCATACAACTTCTCCTTCTTAGTCCAATTCTCCAAATTGCATATTGTCTGTGAGACATGTTCCAAATTGATTCCCTCTACAATCAACGAACACTTATCCTCTCCAATTTCAACTGTTGTCTCGCCTATAATTGGGAAATGCTTTCCTTGCTTCTTTCCATAGTAGTTCTTGATGATGATTTCCTTTGCACTCTTATCAACAATTAGCTGAATTGAGAAGTGCTTATAAAGTGCCTTTGCCACGTACCTGAACCCAGTCACCACCCCATTTGCGTTATTCCTCAAATGACTTGCAACCGTATTCACGTAGTTGTTCTTCCTCCTGTTTCCATGCCAACTCTGTATCTCAATCACGTCTCCATCCAATATGAACGTGAACTTGAATGCTGATGCATCGTAAGTCTGCTTTCCCAATGGGCCCTTGAACGTAAACACCTTTCCCTTCTGAGTCACCTCGCACTCCTTAGGAATCTTCACCAATTCCTTCTTCAACAGCAACTTAACCATGGGATAAAATTTGTAAAAATGTTAAATTTGTTGCAATAACTCACCTTTGCTTCATCTATTTATTCAGCCTACGTCATTCTCATCAGTCAAATTGCTGAATTGTTAGGCCATCGAATGAAAATTTTGTCAAACGAAAGGCCACTGCACCAGGAGCTGCTTCTTTCTCTCATGGCACAGCAGAATGTGCGAGAAGAAGATCAGTCGCATGTTTTCAGAACATTTGACAAACTGGTCCAATTCATGAGGGAGTCTAGGGCCACCTGTGAGCATATTGCAAAAAGATGGCCTAAATTTGAGGATGTCGAATGCTACTTGGCTGTTAGGCTGATTTGTGCAGTTGATTTGTGCATTTATCCATCAAAGGAGTTCTCAGAAGAGGAAGTTGAGTGGATTCTACAGGTGAATGAGGTGACGTACCTGAATTTGGGAAGCAGTGGAATCAGCGTATTCGTCGACAAGAATGGCGTAGTCACGGCCTACAGGAAACTGGTTGACTTCAAAACAGGCTTCAGCAACTCAAAGAGGCGTCTTAAGGAAATCAAGCCAATGAGGCTGGTGACCATTGACGATGAGACAACGAACCACGACCTGAGAATTGAGGAGATTCTGGAAGGATACGAAAAGAAGAAGACGACAAACAAGAAGGAGAGACACATCAAACTGTACGAGACTGATCACAGGATGTACAAGAAGGAGAAGAGGCCACGAAGCATTGAGCTGAATAAGATTGAAAAGAAGGACTAAAACCATAATGGGCTGAAATGAGTTAGAAATTTGCCTTTACTATTTCATCAACCGTCTTATTGATGTGTGACCTCGATTCAGATGCGTACTTCTTCTCCAAATTCACGTACTTCTTCTGTTTCAGTGCCCTGATTGTGTCGTGGTAGCAGTCTACGATCTCGTGTCTCTCTGTGCCGCAATAGAGCCAGAACAGATTTCTGTTTGTGTCCTGGCTGCAGAATCTCCTGGCAATGAATACGGCTGTGGCTGCCTTGATTCTGTTGCTGTACCCATACGTGTTAGAATGCATGTGCATTGTCTCAAGAATGTATTTGGCCATGTTTCGTGTCTTTGACTCGTATCCATTCGCCTTGTTTGCCTTTCGTAAGAAATAGAGTGGATTCACAAACTCAATTTCGTAGTTCAGACTGATCAGAATCTGCTTCTCCGCATCCATCACATCCTTCTCAGTCATCTGCGTCTCTTCCTCCTCCATCCTGTTCAGAATGCATCGAATGTCTGGCCAATCCACTTCCTCGTACTTCTGTGCTATCACCAGTGCAGCCACTGCCACCTTCTTGTAGTCTTTATTCATGCACCTGTGTTTCTGAATGAATTTGTCTAGGATGTTCATGAACACGTAAATCGTATCATCACAAATATTCAGGTCATCCTGAACCCCCAAAATAAAGTCTACCAATTTGCACCTTGTTCTAAAAGGCGTCTTGCTCTCGTCGTATCCCCCTTCCCTGTCTATTTTGGTGTTGTGGTTCTCAATGCTCCTCTGATACTTGTAGACTGTTCTTATTTCCCTCTCCTCTATGCTCATGTGTCTCCTCTTTATTCTTTCTTCATTGATACTCAATTTGCTCATGAATGAGGATACTCCACTTCCACTTCCCTTGTTACGCTTATTCTCTACCTCATAGTTCTCCTTGTTCTCTGTTCCACTCATTTCTATTTGTTTCCTGGTGTTAAATTTGTTAGTCATCTCTGGGTATTTCAAGCCAATTGATTTCTTAGACAGGTTTGTAACTATCATAATACTACTATAATATTACTACCATACTACCATAATAATACCATATTAATACTACTCTAATTAAATATAAATACCTAATTCATTCCTTTATTGGCTTTCCAGCAAGTATCATCTCATCACACATCAATAAGTTGATTGCGGTGTAAACAGCATTTGTAAATACGTTCCCTAACACCGTTGCATTCTCAATGACCTCCTCTTCGTCTCCAACTGCCAGTAACTTGGCATACTCCTCCTGTGGATTCCCACCACTGTTTTTGATCAGTGTCTTACAGAGTGCCTCATACGTCCTGATCAATATCTCGTATCCAACTGAATCAGCTGGATTCACATTCCTGTTCCTGAGCATCTTGATCAATGAGACGTAGAGGTGTCTTCCACCCCTGATACAGCACTTGTCTCTCACAGCCAGCATCACTGCAACCAGAGTCCCCTTGATACTCTGCCTGATTCTGCCGTAATCCACGTTGCCACGAATCAGAATGGTACAGGCTCCCTTCATTGGAACACCCTCAATGAACGTGTAGACTTCTTCACCAACTCGCTCCACCCTCATCGTCTTGGCGTATCCCAGTGAATCGAGACTCAGCTTGTTCTCATCTGTGACTATTCTGCCCCCACACATTCCAACCAGTCTCTCCAGGTTCTTCCTCTTTGCCCTTCTCACTGCCGTAATCCCATTTGACCCAAGCAGCCCGAGACTCGTCAAATCGATTCCCTTCTCATTCACCACCAGTAGCTCATTTCCCTTCTTCCTGCACTCCTTGGCCAATTCGACTATTTTGTTCACCTTGTTCAAAATGAAGTCGTTTTCTCTCCTGGCAAACTCCTCTCGCTCTCCAATCGTCGAATAGACGAATTCAGTCTCCGTTTCTGGCTTCTCGTACTCCATCGACATGTTTGTCACCAGAATGCATACGTCATTCAGCTCATCCGGCATATCCTGGTGCCTTGGACCGTGGTCCAGAACAAGCCCAGCCACAAACCGCGAGTCTCTCACGTCTCCTCCTTCCATCTTCAGTGTCTCAATCAGCTTCACGTCTGCCGTGTGCTTCAGTGCCTCCAGAACAATCTCAGTCAAACAGCCTGAATTCCTCGACTTGGTCGAAAGAGTCGCTCTCACCAATGCCCTCAGGTTCGAGTCATCCAGTGGAAGCAGACTGTTCTTCAGGTGCTGTGACACGTCATCGGCTGCCAGCTGCAGCGAATTCGCAATCTGGGCCACCTTTGACCCGTCTGAGTAGTACGAAAATGCACCTGTGAATATCTCGCATATGCTGAGGATGTAGGTGACAATTCCGTCACCAACACGCTGGTGGATGCTGTTGGCCGACCTAGTTATCACAATTGACGTGGGATGGCTGTACTTTATTTCCCTACAAAGTGCTATCCCATCCTTCGTCAAACTAAGCTTGTTTCCGCCACTAACTAAGGCCTTGTACGTTCCATTCGGCCCAAGACACGGGGCAAAGAGCTCCCTGAGCTGCGCACACGTCAAGTTGTTGTACGCCATGGCCTGCCCCTCCTGCGTGTACTGCGCCTCTGATTTGGTCGAATTCATTGGGATAAAAATGGCATTTTTCACATATTTACTTGTAGCTCTTGAAGTCGTCATTGGAGCCATTATGCGCCTGGTTGCTCACCACTGCCTTGTCTCCCTTTATTTCGAGCACAATTCTGCTTCCCACGTCTGAGACCTTCCTTGCTGTTTTCCTGGCTGTCTTCTTCCCACGTGTCTTCAGAACGTAGTAGACTTTGACTGCTGGATCGTACAGGAAGACCTGGAAGAGCATCGAGACCGCCACAAAGAGGAGGAATACGCCGAATTTGAGGGTGAAGAAGTCGAAGTCGAGGAGACAGCGGGTCAGTGACTCGACTGACGCCTCCTTGTTGTCGATGAGACCGATGTTCTTGTCCAGGAACCACCAGATCAGGTACGTGCTGCCTGATGCGTTGATGAATGCGCTGAATATGAAGTCGACAAAGGTGTAGATCAGAAAGAGGGCGACTACTGGGAGTGTGACTGCCAGAAAGAAGAATGCCGTCCCAACGTGGATGTCACTGAAGTTGTTGGTGTAGGATGAGCAGAATGAGACGTACCAGCTGAAGAGCATCAGACTCACGAATGCCCCAGCCGCCTTGGCTGCGAATATTCCAAGCAGAATGGCCGCTGTCAGTGCTCCCAGCTTGTAGGAGACAATCGACACGACCGATTGGACGATCTTGTTGAAGATGGTCTTCTCAGTCAGGCTGTTCAGGTAGTCGCTGTACTGGGATCCACTTTTGAACAGATTTGAAATCAGCAGATACTGCGTCATTATTGATGAGAAGTATTGGGTGCTGCTTCCCAGGACGTAGGTCAGTCCCAGGATGGTTCCAACAACCAGGAAGTCAAGCATTCCAATCAGGTCGTAGAAGAGTGTCAGGTAGCAGTCAGGTGAAGGGCGCTCCATCTGCTCTAACAGGAAGTCAACTGTCGTCTTCGAAGCCATGGGGTTTGTTTGTTGTTTGTTTTTAAGAGAAGTGATTGATTTTTGTTAGGGTGTATTCTGTAGGAGAAATATTGGTATCAGTGGCACCATGATGAGTGTTACACTAATGTTTCGTGATTTATAAAATTATGATTTGTTTGGCTCAATATTGGTTAGATAGCAGAATTTTATGGCTGACGAAAATGGGCTTGAGGATGAATCAGATTGAGGTTCAGGTGGGAGTGAAGTACCAGGATAAGATAACGAGTTTGAGTGGGAATGTGTTGGTTGGAAGAGAGGATGGGAAGGTGGAGAAGTGTGACAGTAGGGGAATTAGACTTAAAGTGGACTGTTTTGAGGAGGAGTTGGATTTGTTGGAGAATGAGACAATTAAGGAGGGAATAGCAGCAATGGAGAGGCTATCAAGCAGAACAGTTGAAGAGAGAGTATTCGTGGCAAATGAAAGGAGTATAAAGTTGGTTAGGATGAAAGAGAGGGAGAGAATTAGGACAGTGGTAGGAAACAGGGGCAATGAGAGGAAACAGGGTGGATATTCTGAGACAAATAGCAGGGTGGAATTGGTGTTGAAGAATGTTCACAGGTACCTGATAAATGGGCTGAGTCTGAATTCATGTGATGAGTACATGATCAGCAGTGACTTGCTACGAGTGAATCTGTGGAAGGTGGATCGTATGGAGCACTGCTACAACCTGGTTGACATCAAGAATGACCTGGAACTGGGAAACATCTACGTGATTAACAGTGCCAAATTCAGCAAGTGGTCTGATACACTTTTTGGGTACTGTTCATCAAGAGGCGTAGTTGGAGTCCATGACACGAAAATAAGACCAGAATCAGCTGAAATAGTCAGGCTGAACAGTACAAGAAGCACGCAGCTGAGGAGTTTGAGTGACTTTGAGTTTGTGGATGAGTACAAGGTGGCAACCAGGTCACTAAACAAGGTGGCAATCTACGACTTGAGGAGTCCAAACAGTCTGTTTGGAGACTACGAAATAGCAAGAGATGCTGACCTGTCAAACAGTGACTTAATTTATGAGAAGTTTAAGGTTGTTTCTGTAGGTGGCAAAATATTCACTGGAACGACACAGGGGGAGATTTGTGTAGTGGATGCAACTGAAAACAAAATGGGCAAAATGACGGTGTTAGAAGGAGACCATCGTGAAATGACCAAGGAGAACAGCATCAGGCTGATTAGCGAGGGAGATGGGATACTGAATTGCGTCAATGGTGGCGTGATTTATCAGTATGAAATTGATCGATTGGTGGAATCTATCTTCTGATGACATAAAACAGTAGAATCACCACAATCCAGACTAAGAAATACTTCACCATTCTCTTTCTCTTGGCACTGAGCATCTCCCAGGTCTCCTTTAGGTCATTTATCGTCTTCTTTCCAAAATACTCTGTTTTGCCCATGATGTCATCGATTCTCTTCAGTTCCATCTCCTGCAGTGTCGTATGCATGTGAATGTCTTCCACAATCTGCCCCATTTCGTCAATTCTGCTTACAATTCGCCTACGCTGCTCAATCTTCTCATTTTGTACATTTTGCTGCACTTCTTCCTGTAGCACCTGGTTGCCCGAATTGTCTCTACTTCTAGAAAGCGAGTTTTCACTCACGTGACTCATTTCACCTGGCTTCTTCTTCTCTCTCTTGCTCTTTGTCTCCTTTCGCAGCAGATTCTTCATTTTTATCGTAAATTTCAGTGCATTCGTCTTTATCATGTCATTTATGTTTCCATACGCCTCTTTTTGGTCTTCAGTTCCAGTCTCATCCATCTTGTACTCTTCTATCAGGCTGGATGCCCTCTCCAGCAGTGTATTCATCCTATAACTCTCATACGGTGTTAGTTGGTCTATTTCTGTTAGTGTCTCCCTTATTTCACACTCTTTATTGGATATTTCTACACAGAATGGTCTCTGTTTGTGGCTATTCTGCCTTATTTCAGTGGACTGGACCAGTTTGTTGAATTCGTATGTTCTGTCCATGGGCTGTAAGAAGACTGTTTTAAAAGATGCAACTGGTCAAACTGGTAGTGACAATAAACAGGTTGACTGAAAATTATTGATCATTTTTACGCCTCTACAGAATACCATGACAAACTACTGTATTAAACCAAATAAAGAAGAAATCAAGTTGGATGACTGTCTGGCGTGTTCAGGATGCATCACAGATGACGAATATGACAAGTTTGCTGCTGATAAGAATAGTCTCAATCAGTTTGATACCAGTACAGTATTCATTATATCATCTTATGTAAAGTATAACTTATTTCGTGCTTCTGAGTACGAGGAATTTGATGAGTTTGAGAAGTACTTGATCAGTTGGATTAAGATGAAGTACAGTGTGAAGAAGGTCTTTGATACGAGTTATTTTGATAAGAATGAAAATAATCTGATTGAATCAGAGTGTCCGGCCGTGGTACTTTATGTGGAACGAGTCTATCCAGATTTGATCAAATACCTATCAACAGAAAAGAGTAGGTTACAGAAGTGTATTGAGTACGTCAGGTCAAAGAGTAGTGATAGAATTATTGTAGTGAGTCAGTGTTATGATAAGAATGATGAAGTAATACGAGAGAAGTATGAGAGTGTCCATTTGGTTGGATCAAAAGACCTGTATAACGTGATGAAAGAGTGTAAAATGATTGTGAAAGTGGGAAATATTGAAAAACATGAAAAATCGTATAGAATTGAGAACAAAAATGAGATAAATGGGTTGGAAAATGTACTCAGGGCGTTGAATAGGTTCAAGAAACAGAAAAAGGAGGAGAGATTGACATTGTTTATATGCAAGAATGGGTGCATGGGTGGACCAGCACTGATTAAAACAAATGTAGATGGAAATAATATTGAATCAGGTGAAATACCAGATAGAAATAGTGGAAAAGATGAGTTATTTAAGTATTCAACTGGTCAAAGGGTATTCAACAAGCAGAAGAAGACAACATTTGATATAAAATGGTAAGAAATATTCACATAAGTTATTTTACGCCTTAACAATCCATGGTAAGACAAAATATGCTGAATGCATTCAGTGTTGCTGACAATAAGAAGATATATGGGAGAAAGAGTGAGTTAGAAGCAATTAGACAGTTCATTCTAGGCACCAAACACATTCTACACATTAGTGGCAGACCTGGAACAGGAAAGACCTGCACAACCTTATCGCTGCTTGATAAAAAATTTGCTAAAAGACACTGCTACATAAATTATTATTACACACCAGACGTAGCAGAATGCATTCAGGAAATAATTAGTGAGAAGTATAGAATCAATATTGTGGTAATAGACGAGTTTGACAAATATTACGAAGAAAATAAGAAGGAGTGCATTGGGTTGATTGTGAGTTTGAGAAAGAAGCAGATCAAACTCATCACAATATCAAACAACCTGATAATAAATCAGCGAAACTACAAAAATAATGAGAATGCGACAGTGATAAATTATATGCCGTATAAGAAGGAGGAGATTTGTGAAATAGTACAAGAGATAAGTAGCAAAACAAGTGGATTGGAGATAGATAAAGAGGCCATAGAATTCATTAGCAGAAGACATGAGAAAAATGGGGATTTACGCGAAGTATTCAAGCATATTACAGAGGTAATAGGCAAAAAAGACTGCAACAAGAGCATTAGAATAAAAATAGATGACTTAAATAGAATAGTGACACAGAAGGAGACTGAATATGAACCAATACACCATAAGATCATCAAGAATGAGATAGAGAAGGAGAATACGAGAAATGAGGTGTTTAGGGCGTATATCAAGGAATGCAAGAAGATTAAGATAAAGAGCTACGACAAGGGTGAATTCAGCACAATTTATGAGGAAATCAACGAAAGACTGTAACAATTCAGAATTGAGAGAATTCCTGACCCCAATGGAATTTGAGGTGAGTTCGTATAAACGAGGATACGGAATAAAAGAGATGCTGTCCAATGACATGAAAGACTACTGGTGCAGTGACGACAATCTACCACACCACATCACAATACGATTCAACAGGTACAGATATGTTTACGCCATAAATATGTTTCTGTCCTATTTGCAAGATGAGTCCTATACGCCTGAACACATCAAGTACTTCTTCAATGAAAGAGAGAATGAGAAGCACCTGGTGGAGCCAGAAGGAACCATTTCACTACCAGTTGACGCATACATCCAGGAGATTACGATTGTTGTTGTTTCAAACCACACAGATGGCAAGGATTCGCATATCAGGAATATGAAGGTGATGAAGTGCTTTACAACAGACTACAAGATGTAATTAGAATGATCAGCCCAATATTAATTAATAATTCCATTTTACCCATGCATTTTGAATTCTCAGAAACACTACAAACTGCAAATATCACATTTTACAAGAAGCCAGAAGATGGAGGACACTATGAGATTCATCAGAATGGGAAATCGATTACAGTAAGCAGAAATGAGATACAGGTGGAGAAGATTATGCTGTATAGAGAAGCACGAATTTTCGCAGTGAATTCCGATGATCATAAAATAGCAGTTGTGTTGCACAAGGAGGAGGCATCAAGATGGCATGGAATAAATGGACCAGCTGAAATACAACAGATCAAACAAACAGATTACACGGAAGAGACGGATGCGATGAAAGACGAGAAGCCTAAGGATCTGTTTGAGGTGCTTGAGAATGTCTACTTCAAGGGGGATGAGGAAACAAAGAAGGCCATGATGAAGAGCTTTAGAGAAAGCAATGGATCGGTGCTATCCACAAATTGGAAGCACGTCAAAGATGAGAAGTACGAGGAATAAACACATTCTAGAACTATTTAATACCTGTAACTATTCATATGGATGTTTCTGGGTTTGTTCCTATTGCGCTTGTTAGTGAACCAGTTGTTGACTTGTTTAGTTGAAATCATGCAAATGTTGGCTATTTTTAGTTTCTCTTCATCAGATGGATACTTATTGCTCCTATAGCTCTCTTCCAAAGTATCAATAATTTTACGACTGAATCGCTTAACCTTTTTGTCACAGGTTTGGACTTCTAAACTGGCTTGGCACGTGCTATCACGTAGTTCAATTAGCATTTGGTTGACGAGGGAGCGTCTATAGCTTTCTAAAATTTTTTGCAGCTCAGCTTTGGTGGTAAATGAAACCTGTGGTTTGAAATTGAAATTGCATGTCATTGTATATTGTTCCTCAATTTTCTCAATGTTGCTTAGGATGTTCTGAACATTGTGTGTATATGTTTCTCGTATTTTCACTAGTTTACGACTTAAATCTGTTCTATCGGTCATCCTTAGGGGTTTTAACGGAACTCAAATACAAATAGTCTAAAGTATTAAACTGGACCAATATGCTACTGATGACTACATGTCAAACTGGTTAAAATTTCATAAATCACATGTCAAACACATCAAATAACCCCAAAATGAAAACAGTAGAATTGGAAAACATTACAAAGCTGCTAAGGAAGTATGAAGAGGATTACATCTACAAGAATGTCACCAAAGAAGAGCTCTATGCAAAACTAAATGGATACTACGACAAGTTTAAGGAGATTAACAAGGAAGAAACAAAATCAGGTAAGGAAGTCATTATTGACTTGTATCTGTGTCTCTTTAGAATTCAAGCTCTTTTTGAATTTGAAACTAAGTTAACTACGGCATTATATACTAGTCAAATCAATGAAAGAGAAACCATGCCAGCCAAAACAATAGAAGAAAACAACAAAAGTATTGAAAATTCATATGATGGTGAAAAATCCCACAAAGACATGCTTTCTTATGAGAATCATAAATTTCGGAAGCCTAAACGTGCTAATTACAGTAATCAAGTAAGCAAAGCCCTTAAATCATGGCTACGAGAAAACATGAATAACCCGTATCCTAATGATGATGAAAAGAATGAACTGATTAGACAAACAGGATTAGACTCAACACAAATCAATAACTGGTTCATAAATGCACGACGGCGGATTTTACCTTACATGAAAAGCAAATACATGAAATATGAGTGATATGGAATTCGTCAACAATAGAAAACTCCAAAATCCGATATTTATTTCGAATTTTTAGTCTTTGTGTTGGTAACACAAGACCATCATTACTATTGGTATTCAGGTAAACGTAACAACAAAACCATTTCTATAATGGAATTCAATTTGAATATATTTTAGACCCTTTAATGGGCATTGACGAGCTACTTTCATTCAAAAAAATCGTGAAAGAAATGTACTGTAAAGCGCTTGAGATAGAAACAGATACAGATTTTAATGCTCTTGTTAAAAGCCACCTGGAGAAAATGAAAGAAGAAGAGAAGCATAACTTAGCCAAAAAATTTGCATCCAAACTCTATAGTGATTTCCGAAATGATTTGCTAGACAACACCAAACCAGTTAACCTCCCCCAAGAAGTCGATGACCTCACCTGTGCCCTTGATAAAATCCTCTCTCCCAATCAATAAACCTGGTCCCATTCCTCTTCTTCTTTTTCACCCCATATGCGAAATCCCAAAATTACTGAAGCATTCCTAGAAGTCAACAAATTGCATCCCACACTCTTTGAAATCTACAACAGATCATCTGACTCATACTCCAACTACAAGACACTCCATCTGAAACAGGAGTACGCCATAAACCTATCCAATTTCACCACTTGTGGAATACTACCAGAAATATCCACAATCTGGTACACGAAAGAGAACAACCTCTACTTCTACAACTACAAGAGCACCTCGTACGAAGAACTGCTCAACTTCAGCACGCCTGTGCTACAGGTTGCTCTCTTCAGACCCAAACCAGGGGTATTCAACGAGACAATCAGGTACGCCCTATTTGTGGGGACTCAGAGGGACGGAATGATCTACGCAGTGGAGGCAGACACAAACACGCTGATCAGCACTGAATTCAGCTGCAAACTGAGCAGCAGCCCAACCTGCGTGGGCGTATCAGGCTCAAGAGTCTTCGTAGGGTGCGTAGATGGAAATGTGTACGAAATCCACTACAAATTTATGGGAATTCTGAACTACAAGAGCATGTCTGTCTATACGCCAACCAACTTCATCAGCAGGGCCATCAGTGGCCTACTCAGACGAAAGGGAGACAGAGTCGTCTCCATTTCAGTTGGAACGGCCTACCTGGCTCTCCTAAGCAACGTACTTGAATTATATAGCATAAAGGACGGAATGAGTCGAATCAGACGATTTGACTGCAGAAAGAAGTACCTGAGTGTCCAGGTGGCCGAGGAGACGCCCCTGCTGGTCTCGGCCGTCTCAGCCTGCGGAAACAGGGACTTCTTCACCCTCGAGGGCCGTGCCTTCACCAGGGACCACTTCGAGCGCCTCGCTGACGCAGACGCCCTCGTTGTTGCCTCCTGTTCCGACCGAACTGCCTTTCTGAAGAAGTCGAACGGAATCGCCTTCATTTCACTGGTTGGGCTGAACGAGGACCAGTTGCTCAATTTCAAGGCGGATGGCTTCAGCGAGAACTTCGAGCAAATCAACGTCGATAAAGGCGTGAGGGAGATTGTGGTTGGAAGGAGGCTGCTGGTGCTCTCCACGACACGCGTGAGGGAGTACGAGATTCTGTCGGCGAAGAAGCTGCTGCTGAACTGCAGGACGGAGGAGATCTACTCGATCTACCGAAACTACGGCGAGCTGAACTTCGTGGTGAAGTACTTTGAGCTGCTTTCTGAGAACGAGAACGTGTATCGAATTGAGTCATTTTGTAAGAACCAGAATATCAAGCAATTTGCATTCTACGTTTATGCAGCCAAACAGCTCCAGCCATTTTGGAGGAGGCCTCTCAGTGGCCTGTTTGGAGGCAACGAGGGGCAGCTGGGGCTGAATCAGTCGATCAAGCGAATCAGAAACCTGTCTCGGAAGCTGGGGAAGGAGATTGGAGACGGCGGTGGATTCGTTGACGAATTGGCCCAGACCAACTGCTACTGCGAGTACCTGGCTGAAAATGGAATTGGTTACAAGGAGACCCTTGAGGAAGTCATGACCAGGGAGAATGGGCCATTTCGAAAGAGGACGCTTGAGCAGCTTCTGAGGGTGTTCAGCAAGAACAACTCAGTCGACTCGTTTCTGAAGAGGCTGAACAACTCGTGTCCAATTTACCTACCAGTTGAGAAAATAAACAACATGATGGGAATTGAACTCCTGAAAACTGGTAGCCCGCATTCAATGAGGGAGTCACTGAAGTACTTCACCAACTGCAGTGAGGACGTCGTGGAGCAGTTCAATGCCGCCCACTTCCACTACGGTGCCATCTACGTCCTGAGACAGAGCATAGCCACTGGGAGAATGAAGTACGACAAACTGTGCAGGCTGATGAGGAGGAGTATTCGGTGCCACGGGGCACTGGAACTCGGTCTCGCTGATTCACGCGAGATGCTCCTCTTTCCCCTCTTTGAGGCACTGCTCTCTGCCGATCTGAGTGGATCGTGCACCTGTTGCACCCCTACGCCATCACAGCCATTTTCACTGCTTCAGATCACAAATGGCCTCTTTGAGAGGTTTCTGAGGGAGAGGAAGTCGGCTGATCCAGCCGTGTACAACCTGATTTGGAAGTATCAGCTCCATCAGGGTAGAAAGAGTGATGCAGTTGAGTCACTGGTTCAGTTGAGTCAGAGAAGTGACCTATCAGTCGAAACAAAGGCGGAATTCCTGGAGACAGCCCTATCAATCACAAATGACCAGAATGTGAGGAGGATGATTGATTTGTACAGGATTCAGCAGGAGATGTGTGCCAGAAAGGGGATTCTGGTGAACAGGCTTCTTACGGCAGATTCACTACTGAATGACTACCTCTATGATCAGTACGATTTGGTACTGGTTCTATTTGATTTACTGAATTACAGGGATCAGAAGAAGATGAAGCAGTTCTACACGAATTTCATTATCAAAACACACCACATTGATGTGATATACGAGTTATTGGGCAAATTGACCAGGAAGACAAATCGAGTTGGACTATTTATAGGCGCATTGGTGGACAGGGAAGTTGGTGGTGGATCAGCAGGAATGTGTAGGAGGCTGATTGGTGCTGGATACGACCAGAATGAGGTATTGATCAGTGTCAAGGACATTCTGATGAACAATAATCATCCAAGGGTGAAGGAGTATTTGCTAGTGGAATTGGAGCAGATTGCAAAGAAGGAGGAATACGAGGACGTAAGGGCGTACTGTGAGAGAGTATATGGAGTAGTAGGAAGTGGAAAGATATAATGACAACTACCGTATTATGCCCTATGTTTACTCTTTCTCTTGAATCCCATTCTTCCTTTTTTACTCTCTTTGATGTGCTTTAGGGCACACACCCTTCTTCTGCTTTCTGATACGGTCTTATCAACTGTTTCGTGTACCACTTTCTGATCAACTTGATCAGTTTCTAACATCTCCTCTATTTCATCCAATCTGCTCTTCTTCTCCTTCTCCTTCACCTGTTCAGCCTTCTTCTTCAATCTGCTCAGGTAGCTGTCACCTGTGTTGATTCTGGTGCATTCTATTTTACTGTCTCCTTCATTCTTCTGATTGATCTCCTCTTCTACTCCTGTCACCCTCTCTTTCACTCCTAATAGTATTATATCACTCTCCAGAATATTCCCCTCAAACTTAGCCTTGAATTCTCCACCCTGTCCAATGGCTCCCTTTGCTATTCCTCGTATTCCACTGCTCGTAACCAACTTAGCCCCTATGAATTTGGTGCATTCTGCCTTATTCTTGAACATTCTCGTTACCACAACGTGGTTGATGCCAATCTGCCTAGGATACCCAACTAGGTTGTATGAATGATATAGATCACCATCATTCTTGGTGAATCTGCCACTAAACAGTATTCTGAAGTGATCAGGTGATTTGGTGTACGCGAAGTAGTTTGCATCGTGTAACTGGTACTCAGTTGATAGGTTGATGCTCGTATCGTATTTGGTGATGGTATCAGTTAGAATGCCATTGTTGGACAATCTCATTCCACTTGATCTGATTTTATACCAACCAATATTGATCACTATGTCACTATTGATCAAGTTATTGAGTTGTTTCATACTGGGGTGGTAGTGCTTATTTGGTGTAACTGTACCAGAATACTGTCCAATCTTCATTCTACCAGTATCCAGTGCATATATCAGTGACTGATCCATATCACCCACTACCTCCACTTCTATCAGGTCTCCTGGTATCAAGTAGCCCCTCTCTTTCAGTATCTCATTTTTGATCTCAAAATTAGCCTGATTCTCCCTCTTTGATTCCATAAGGAAGTTCTCACCAATTTCATCAGTCTCTGATTTCTGCCTGGCTGCTTCTTTGTACCTGATTCCACCATCAACTTTCTCAATTCTGCTGATTTGTAGCATTTTACCCGATTCAACTGCCAGAATTCCGTCTCCTGTCTCACAAAGCAGTGGTTTCCCCCTCAATTGCCCACGTATCACGTTCTTATCAACTGATTCGGCTATCAAGTACGATCTACTGCACTTGAACTCAACTGGGCGTATTTTGAATCGACTCAACTGGGTGATCAGCTGTCCCATGCTCAGAATTCTACACCTTCTTCCCGTATCACTCTTTATCTTTTTTATTGTATTCCTATTTTTACCAGTTTCAAGTGAGCTGTAAAAGACCCTGACAGATCCAATTGCGTTTACCATCGAATGCACTTCAAGCACCTCGATATCCAGTTCGTCTTTCACGTCAATCACCACTCCATCTGCCACCTTAACGTAGTCTGCTATTCTATCAATGTCACTCTCAATTGCAAATATCGTATCATGGTATTTTGTACCCAATTTTACCCTGAATAGACCTGAATCAGACTGGTTTGTCTCACACTTGTACTTACTCAACTGATTCATGTACTCCATGACTGAATCACTGTTCTTACAGACTACCAGGATACATGCTGGTGAATTGTCCTTGTAGAACATGTTTTCTATCACCGTCTTGGAGTGGTCCTCGTTGTATGAGGATATTTTGGCTATCTTCTTTGCTTCCTTTTTGTTGACTTTTTTCATGGGAATCCCATGATAAATTTTACTGAATTTATGCTGAATACATATGGCATAAACTATCACGATAGAGAGAGTAGTAGTACAATTAGGATATTAAACGATGAAACAGTCCTAGTAATCAGCAACTACACCAGAATGGTGATACGTGTTGCATCAGGGAAAAAATTGAGTATTTTCTGCAACAGGAAGATGGATGTTCTAATTGGAATTGTTCATAGCACATTCTACGGCATGAGATTCCAGTACAATATTGATATCATAATATTGGATGCCACTGATCAGTATTCACACGTTGATGTCTACTTGGCTAAGGAAGTTACAGCAGCAATATCAGTCTTAATGAACTTGAACCTGACTACATCACTACGTGTCCAATACAATAACAAAGTTGTAGATGGAGCAACACCATTGGAAGTATCTGACTTGAATAACTACCAGTACACGGTAGAGAAGAATGCACTACTGTACGTAGAATCATTCAACTGGGATACTCAGCTACAATTGGAGTAGTTTGTATGAAACGTGTTACATAATCAAAAATGAACTTTATTGTGATGATGATGCTCGGATTGGGATTGGGGCTGATTGGAGCGTACTACTTCAGGATGGATGAGGAGTCACGTGATATTGATGTAAATAGGGATGTGTGTGAGTTAGTTAGGCAGAATGTGGAGAAGACTGAGAGTGGAAAGGAGATTTGGGAGGATGAGGAGTTCTACATTTTGGTGAAGAAGATCAACGACTACGTGAATGGGAGATACACCGGGAGAGGAGCACGTGATTTGGATGGGTTTTATAAACCAATGGATTTTCTAAAGAACAAGTATCATGATCAGAGGTATGCAGAATTGGTTAAGAAGCTATTTTGTAAGAGAGATTGTAATAAAAGGGTGAAGAAGAGAAAGAAGAGGCATTACAGTAGTAGCAGTAGTAAAGAAGGGGATGAGTCAGATTATAGTGAAGTTCATGATAGGAAGAAGAGGCACAGTAAGGATGAACATGAGAAGAAAGAGAAACCTGATAAAAAAGAAGTGAAGGAGAAGAAAGAGACACACGTGACTGATAAGAAGTCTCATGAAAGCACTAAAACCAATACTAGTGGAGTTCATAACAATACCGAAATTCATAACAATACTACAAGGCCTATTAATAGTAATAACACCACTAAACCAGTAGTAACACCACATCCAATACAAATGGTACAAAATATAAAGCAACAAATTAGAACAAGACCAACCAAACCATTCAAGGATGAAACAAGTGATCAATATCACAAGTGGGCAACCAAGTACCTGAGAGAAGATGGTGAAGAGAGTCATCAACACAGACACGTAACCAATTCAGATGGAGAACCGTGTTCCAACCTGATAATCAAATCACCCTATGCAGATGAATCAGAAATATCCCAATTCATAGACCAATTTGAGAAGAAAATAGCACAGAAAATAAAAATTGACTGAAAACTTTTGACCCAATGGCAGAAAAGAAGGAAAGTGAAAACGCAAACAACGTGATCAAAGCAAAACTAGGCGAAATCAATCTGGACAAATTGACACAGAAAAAGGTTGACTTGATTGAGAGAAACTTGGATGAAATCACAGATGGAGACAGGCTGATACTGCGCAAAATAGTCCAACAAAGAGCACTGAAAATCTACTGGGGAACAGCTATCACCGGTAGACCGCATATTGCGTACTTTCTGCCCATTTTGAAACTACGAGACTTCCTTGAGGCCGGCTGTGAGGTGACTGTGATGTTTGCTGACATCCATGGGTTCCTGGACAACCTCAAGGCACCCATTTCCAAGATTGAGTCACGATACACCTACTACAAGAAGCTTATTACGACTATGCTGGGAAGAAGCCTGAGAAATGGAACTGGTTTGGGTGGAATCAGGTTCATCAAGGGCTCTGACTTTGAGCTGACTCCAAAATACACGTTTGACGTGTACAGGATGGCATCGTATACGACAGAAAGAGACTGTAAGAGAGCAGGGGCCGATGTGGTGAAACAGAGCGAGAATGCCCTTCTTTCAAGCATGCTTTACCCAAATATGCAGGCACTGGATGAGGAGTACCTTGGGGTGGATGCCCAATTTGGTGGATCAGACCAGCGTAAGATATTTATGCATGCTAAGACATTTCTACCCAAATTGGGATACAAAAAGAGGATTCACCTGATGAATCCGATGATGCCTGGGCTGAATTCAGAGAAGATGAGTTCATCTGACGAAATGAGCAAAATAGACATGCTGGATACGAAGCAGCAGATAAGTAAGAAGATAGGAAAGTGCTTCTGTGAGGAAGGAAACACTGATACTGGTGTACTAACAATATTCGAATACATCTTGTTCAACTACTTTGGTAGTGTTAAGGTGAGTGGGGTAGAATACAGCACATTTGAGATGCTGAAGGATGAGTTTGGGAAGAAGGTGATTCATCCTGGTGACTTGAAGAGTGCCTGTTCGTACTACGTGAATGAGATGGTGGCACCAGTGAGGGATGTGATGATGGAAGAGACTGAGATGATTGAAGCAGCGTATGGGAAGATAAGTAGGCAATAAATGCAATATTTATTAAGGTGAGTAGTGTAACAGTAAGTTATTTCACCCTGAATGAAAGAGGAAGAACTGTACTTCAAAAGCATAGACCAGAGCAACTTTAGTAAAACGAACGTATTCCAAAAGAAAGAGACTGAAGAATGCGACTACAGGGAGCTGTACAGGGAGTTGAAGAAGGAAGTGGCTGAGAAGAACAGAATAATAGCCAGGTTGGAGATGGAGTTACATGAAAAGAAAGATGGGAAAAAAGAGGCAGGAAAATCAAGAAGAATAGCAAGGGCAATGGAAATAGTAAAAAGACTACAGTCACATTCTGAGTCAACCAGAAGTCAGTCAGATGCTGTTACGGAACTAAAGAGCGAATTGGCTAAATATAAGAACATGATACAATTGTTGCTGAATAAAACAAACATGAAGTAGAATTTGCAGAATTTACCCGAGAAAATGAAGGACAAAAAGAGAAGTTGGGATCCATCGCAACACGCCACAACGAGGAAGGCGCTGGACCACGGGTCGATCAAAGTGATCAATTCGCTCGTGTTGCGTGGGAAGCTGGTTGGATTGACGAGTGAGATATCGACTGGGAAGGAGGCCGTGATATTCACTGGTGAATGCACTGGTGACATTGTGACTAAGTTTGTGGGAGAAAGAGAGGGGCCATTTGAGACTGAAATGGTTCCATGTGTGATAAAGGTCTTTAAAATAAGCACAATGTGCTTCAAGGACAGGGACAAGTACATTCAGAACGAGAAGAGATTTGGATCATTCTGCAAATCAAATAGCAGGAAACTGATCAAAATGTGGGCTGAGAAGGAGACAAGGAACCTGAGGAGACTCAACAATGCTGGCATTCTGAGTCCTAGGCCTCTCTACCTAAAGAAGAATGTGCTGATTATGGAAATGATATTGTACGATAGAGATGGAATCAGAATCAAATCGAATACTCCTACTGTAATTGAGAAGCAGCCAATTCCAACTGATAAACTGATCAATATTGGACCAAATAAGACGGCATTTGAGGTGGTGGCACCCACGTTGCAACAGTCTCGTGAGATCACGGCTGATGTCTATGATCAAACTATTTCAATGATGAATTCGATGTATAAGGATGCTGGATTAGTCCATGCTGATTTTAGTGCATATAATATATTGATCAATAAGGTAGGAGAGCTGTTTGTGATAGACGTAGGACAAGCAGTGGATACGACCCATGAGAATGCGCACTGCTTTCTGATAGCAGACATCACCAACATAAACGGCTTCTTTCGTAGCAGAGGCATCCAAGTCAGAGACGAGGCTGAAATATTCGAAGAAGTCACAGGGCTAAGGATTCCAAAATGCATCAGGGGAATACGATTGAACAAGAACAGTTTCATTCCAACTGGTCTCTCTGAGATAGCAAACTACGAAGACAGAGAGCTCTTCATGCGTGAGGGAGAGCAGAATGAGATTGAGACGGCTGATCTGAATCCAATCAGTCGCAATTTCAATCACAAATTGGGCAACTTGAAAATAGCAGCAAAATCACTCGATTTGAAGAGGGAGCAACGAAGGGAGAACAAGAAGAAGGTGAAGGAGGAGAACAAGGAGCGGAGAATGAAGAGGGTGTTGAGGAAGGAGGAGCACAAGAAGAGTTGATCACACTTTAATCCCATACTCAGCCATCACCCTGACGTATTCATCATACTTGTTATTGAGTTCATCAGTGTTGTCTATCATGTAACTGGTGTAGATTGATTCAATCAAATTGATGATATGGGCGTGATTAGTATGAATTAGTAAATTGCTACGTGCACTAACACTCTTACTATTATCATTATCATTATTATTCTTATCTTCTGTCACACCCTTATAATTACTGTATTTGTTAATGATTTCTTCTGTGCTAAGCATTGTTGAGTCAATTTTGCTTAGATCAATTCTACTCCTATTGTTTCGTATATTGAACACATTCTCATCCCTGCTTGTCTCTGATTTGCTCCTTCCTTCTCTCTCTTCGATGCATTCTTCTATCTTATTCTCCTTCACAAAGAGGCCTCTTTTGTTCCTGCACTCAAAGTATCTTATTCCACCGTATGTTCCGTCATTCTTTCCAATTGGCTCATCCAGCTCAACTCCAACCCATCGGCCACTCTTTCCTTCTATTTCACCAATGTACTTGATTATTCCGTAGTATTTGCTGTTTATCACGACTGAGTCACCTGTTGAAATGTGCACCATTGGGGAGTACAAACAAAATTATTCAGAACAAACAAAATAGATAAATTGATGCACATGAGTGATAGTGGATTCATTACGTATTGGCAGGTAGTGATGAGTATTATATTCGTAGTATTTACATTGAACATAATACTAGTATTGGAGAGGAATGCAGTATTGTACGTGGTATAACACGATAAAATGCAAAACAGTGTATCAGAAAGAGTTAAACAAAAATTAATGGGATTATGAGACATGCCTGAAGACACAGAGAACAATACGGAACAAAACAAGAAGAAGACGACCAGAATGCTATTTGTGCTACTGATCATTGTGGTGGCAGCGAGTATACTAGTGCTAATTGGATACGGGGTGAAAAGTAAGATGAGTTTAAAGGGTAATTCAAGTCAAATTAAGTCACCTGTGAATTTGGAGAAGTTCAAGAGACACGATGGGGATGGAACCAATCTTGATACACACAACACAGAGGACTATAAGAACATGATAAACAGGAATTATGACGAGAACAAGACCAGTATGATATTCAAATAGGAGTAATACATAAATAGTAACTGATGAATATTCTTCATTTTAACCCATGTATGAAGTACTAATAAAAAGACTAAGAATAGTGGGAGAGAGTGAGAGTGAGTACAGGATGATTGACGTATTGGAGGATACACAGTACAACTTCGAGCGATTTGCAACAGACCTGAATAGATCAAGGAACTATCTGGTTGAATTTAGGTATAGTGGAGATGGAATGGTAAAGAAGGATGATGTGATAAACTATGGGGAGGATAGGTATGTGTGGATTGATAGTTTGCATTATAACAGTTATTCAACGGTATTAGCAGTGGTAAAGGGTGTATTACCACCAATCAGAAGCAGGGGGACTGATCATGTTCTGACATTGGAGCTGTTTGATACGACTCAAATGGTGAAATTGAAGGTGTTTCATGCTGAGATGGAATTTAGGCAGTTTTACGTTGATAAAATATACCAATTTAAGAATATTAAGCTGAATGATAAGGCAGATGGGGCAATAATAAGTCGGATAGGAGACATAACAGAATTCACAAATAGTGGGGATATGAAATACAGGTATTTAGCAAGTGAATACCAATTGGGGCTATTTGACAGTAACGAATTGGCCGATTTGACTGGAATAGTGTGTTACGTGGAGAATGGGGCTGGGCATAGTATGGTGCATTTATCAGGTGAAACAGCAAAGTATACGATTAAAATGAGTAGGCAGAATACAATTAGGAAGTTGGAGAGATACAGAATAACCAACTTGAGGCATTTGAGAATGAATGAGTATGAAAGTAGCAAGAATACAGAGGTGATCAAGGAGGCAGGAAGAAAGAAGGAGGAGAAAGAAAACAGTGGGAAAATGTTCAGAAAGACTGAGGAGGTTGTGACTGGTGAAATGGAAAATGAGAAGGGAGATGAGATTCGGTGTTACAGGGTGAAATTGGTTGATTTTGAGGCACGTAATGAAAATAGGGCAATAAAATATTATGGTACGGTTTTATTGCAGGATGGAAGCAAGCATATGGTGGTAGTACGAAATGAGTATAGGATGAAATTGGAAGAGTATAATTTCATAAATGGAAGCAGAGGGATGGTTGATTCATCAGAATACATCACTGTGACACTTTCAGGAGAAATGGATGAAATAACAGGAATATTGGTCAATAACGAAATGATACGAAGGAAGATACACTAAAAGGACCACATATGGAATAAACACGTATTCAGCACCCAATAGCCTATTTTTAGCATATATTTTGATAATGATCGTAAATCATGATTAGAAATCATAAATTAAAAGATGCCATATCATCCCTTTATGAAAGAGGGGCGTAGAAAATTATCTGTTACAGAACAATTGATCATATTATGCATCACATTGCTAGTCATAGCATCAATTGGTATAGCTGTGATTCTAATGGTTAAGAAACACAAAGCAAAAAAGCACGCTATCAAACCAGCTGAATACAGAAAAACACATGGTGATTCATCACCTAACGCATCTGACTCAGGATCCAACCCAACTCAGTCTACACCTGAAACAGTTGTTGAATTGGAGGTAAAGGCTTCAGAAGTTGACAGATTCATATTTCCTAAGAAGTTCCTGGGTGATCAGAAGAGTCTATTGAAAGCGAGTGTAGTTAGTGACTTGCTTGAAAGTGAACAATTAACTGATTCATACAATATCATGATTGAGTACGTTAATGATACTGGATTTGATTTGACCTTAAAAAGTAAGTCTGAAAGCACTGTAGATGCACCACCAGGCTTTTACACCATTGATAGTTGGAATGCGTACTACGTACAGGGTTTGCTCAAAGTAAATATCCAAATGGCTACAAGAATCCATACTGATATCGTAGACAAATCATTGATGAGTATTGTTGATAGAATCATGGAATTGAAACACCCAAATATTGTGGAATTGGTGGATGAACACAAGAATGTAGAGGTAGAATACACATACGGTGATAACACAGTCTATAAGGATGAGTTTGTGATAGTGATTCCAGCGGGACTGAAAATTGATCTGAAATCGAAATCATATAAGAAACTGGATTTGGAACACGATGGTGTTGTTGATTATCCAAAAGTGGAGAGACTGTTGAGAACGTACATTAGTGACATTCTGAAGGGATTGAAAGCAGTGCATAAGAAGAAGATTGCACTATTGAGTCTAAGAAACGATGATATCGGAGGATACAAGGAGAATGAAACGATAACATTCGTAATCAGGGACCTAACACATGCAATCAATATGGAATACACCAAAAAGGGTATTCATAGTGATTTAGACACAAGTGACCTGAAATATGCTCCTAAGGCGGAGAGACAAGCTGGAATAGTTGGATACTTTACGGATGTGTTTATGGTGGGAATGATGTTGGCTGAATTGGGAGTAATGGAAAATAGTAAGCAGTGTTTTGAGAAGTATCCAAAGAAGAGTTCTAATGTCTCTGACCATGATGACTTCTACAAGCAGTACAAATACAATACGATGTTTTCGTATGCGATCAGGGACTTTGTATCTCTCTGTTTGATGGATGACTACAAAAAGAGGCCAAGTTTGAAGAACCTCATGCAACACCAATTCTTACGAGGAGGAAAGTTGAAACTAACCACAAAGAGACAGGATGAGTTGAATGGATTTGTTGGTGGTAAATAAACCAAGATGGAAGAATATTGATATATTAAATGGGATCATGTACATTTTATAGTATTTTTGATAACTGATAGTGTCACCGTAACCTATAAAATAGGCAAATTATTACCCCTGTTTATGACAAATATAAACAGCTTCAACTGCCCATTGAAGGGATACAAAGCAATCAAAATAGCATATGGAACACAGGCTACGCTCAATCCAAACGAGGAAGAGCGTGCAAGCGGATTGACTCACGCATGGAAGATATACGTAAAGGCCCCACCAGGATTCATAAAAATAACCACATATAAGTTACATGAGTCATTTCTGAACAATAACGTTGTTGTGAATGCAACTGAAAGCAATCCGAACTTCGAACTGCACCAGAAAGGATGGGGTGAGTTCACAATCCAAATAAAAATAGCTCTCTTCAATAATGACAGAATCCACTTCAGCCACTACCTAAAGCTACACGAGAACAAGAAGTTGATGATAAACGATACGCCAACGAAGGTGGTGACGAGTGAGAAGAAGGATACGCTCTTTTTCAAGGGGAAGTTTTCAGGTAAAATAGATCCCAAAACGTACGAATGCAAATTCACTAATGAAAACGATGAGTACAAGAAAATAGACAAATGCATCGACTACGTACTGGATGAGATTGAGAAGATGGCGTAATTTCGTAATAGTTGAATTTGCCTATATTTTTGCTATTTTTCATCCCTTATGCTTGAAATTGGAATAAGCTTCTCAAAGAAGAACACGGTGGAATCTTCGTATACGATGAATGTTCTGAAACAGACGTTCTCAGCACTGGAAGACCTGGTTGAGAATGCCGTGATCAAGATATCGCACGATGGAATAAGCGCACAGGTCATCGACTCGATGCACGTCTGTCTGTGTGACGTACGCTTATCAAGTGAGCTATTTACGCATTTTAGGTGTGACACGGATGTGCTGCTGACTGTGCCACTAAAGAGCTTCAATCTCCTCTTTAAGAACATGACAGTGGCTAAGGATGGAGACAGCCTGATGATAAGCGCAGTAGAAGTGTTTAGGAAGAAGAAAAAGGACGAAAATACTCAGACACAAAATGACTCTCAGAATAAGGCAACGAGACTGGCACGTGCTAATTCATTAACTCTGACTAATACGACTGAATCTGCCTTTCTGAAGACGTCAATTGCCCTTCTTGATTCAGAGGCACCTGAGTTTATGCTTCCTGATACAAATTTCCAAAATGAAATTGAGATTTCAGCTGAATCTTTCAGGCAAATGAAGAACTTGGGTGGGCTATTTGGAAATAAGGTCGTATTCAAAGTTCAAAAGGACGAATTTGTGGTGATGCAGAAGGGAGAGGGGACTGAGTCGTGTTTGATACTGAAGAACAACGAGAATAAGAGCATCGTAGTGAACAGTACGATGCCAACCCAGCTTGAAATAAACAAGCAGTATTTGGATACGGTACAGAAGATTCTGGGTCTCTGTGACAAGATGAGGGTGAGCATGTCCCCTGAGACGCCAATTCTGTTCGAAATGGGCCTGAATGAATACGGATACATCCACTTCTTCATTGCCCCACAGGCATAATAAAATATTAGTTTATAACAGCAATATTTGTCATTTATGTGAAATTAGGGTTTGTTTTTATTAACCACGGTTTCAATGTTGAGCAATAGCGTCTTTTGGTGTAACAATATGTTTGTGGGGTGCTTTTGTTCTTTTAAGTCATTGCACATTTCAGTAAACCTATTTTTCATATCTTCTATTTTTTGTTGAATTTGATTGTACTTTTCTGATTTCTCCCAGGATAATCTGTTAAATTCATCTTTGGGCATCTCATCCTCCGGTTTAACACTTAATTCGTAATATTCCTCGCATTTTTGCTTTAATTCACAGTATTCACCATACATTTTCTCTAACGCAACGAGTTCATCTTTGAATTCTTTCTTGTATAATAGTGCTAGAGAATCCTCTTTTGATTCATCTGTGAGGGGTTATGTGTATCTTCTTATACTCTGACTAGAGCCAGAGTCATCTTCGCTACTCTGTGTTGCAATATTGATCAATAACAGTGGTATCAGTAGCATTAGGGCGTGGTCTTGTTTTGTTTACACTGTCAAACAAATGATGATCAATCATAGGTTGTGATAAATTTGGGTTTAAATACCATATTTAAAACAAAATAGTGAATTTGTATTTTAAATATGGTCAAAATTATTGGATTTATTTACAGCAAACTTGTTTCATAAACAACATTTACTTGTATTTAAATGATTAAAATATTTATAATCACATTAGAGATTAATTTGAACACGTTTATTTCTAAATCAACCATACTCAATTTATTCCATTCCTTCTTCCATACCAATGATCAATTGTGTTTCAAGCTCTACAATCTTGCTGCTTAGCTGTGTCAGTAGGTTCTGTGCTTCTTCATTGCCATCATACTCCTTAACCCCTCTCTCAATATGTTCTTTTGCCTGATTTAATATCACGTGATAGCTCTTCATTCCCTCTGTGGTTAATGAAGACTTCTTTCCTGATTGTTCTAAATCACCCTTCCGTTCTTTTGGTATGTTATATATCAATTTTAATCCTGATTCTAATCCCAATACCAGGTTTTTTAAACTATCCAGGCACACCTTTGAACAAGATAATGGTTCAGGACTGTAATTTGATGCTGCTGAGAATATCAATGAATTAAAGATCACTATTAAACGCATTAGGGTTTAGTATTGTTTATTTATTAAACAAATGTCATGTATATGCTTGATATTTGATCATTGTTTAGAAGCACAATACTTAGTCTTCTAATGTTTAATGTGACCTTATTGTGTTATTAACTAAAGAATGCGGAATTGCATCAAATCATTTGTTTAATCTAGAGGTGGCTAATCTGCCCTATACTTTTTAAGACATTTTCCATGAAAAGTGAAAGTGCCCTATAAGGCATTTGATCATTTTATCACAAAACCTTTATGATATACTTTTAAACCTTAAACAACAACAAATGACGTGATATGAAGTCTGTATTAAAAAGGATGTTTTCTGTATCAAATATACGACCAGTAGCCTAATTCAACTGAATTGAAACTTGTTGAAATAGAAACAACAAGAGAATTTCAGGTTGTTGAGAGTATCTCTGAATCAATTGCTTAAAAATTGACGAAATTTAACTATGAGAATGTATTCTGACAAATCCTTCTATTTACACTTACTGTTTGTTACAAACAATCAACATATCGATCACATATTGATTCGATCTTTGACAGGTTGATGTGATGGTGTCAATATATTGGGCTCACATAACATAGTTAATTCGTCTTTGATAGTTATTTATATGTAACCAACTCATACCTGAAAACAATTTTGCTTCAATCACTAAACAAACGTATTCATCTTGTCTGCTGATGGAAGACCATCAGCAACGTGTTTTTATCAGTTGATTAGTTTTTACTGCTGGTTTCCAATTGTCTAAAACGTACCTTATTATTCCATCCTCTACATTAATGGTTCTTTTTATGCTGTTTGTTAGTGATCAGTTGTTGACTATAAAAACAGTGATTTTAACAACCACATGTTGTTTGTTTGGATGACGGTTGGAATAACATCTGCATTAGATGTACATCCTGAAATAACAGATGCTATGGGCATCCTTGGTGCAGCAGGTATAAAAGGGAAAGTGGAAGGTGAAATTCAGTCACATACAAAAACAACTAAGGGTGGGAGAAACACTGCAGCAAACATCAAATTCAGTGCTGATTTCCAGGCAGGTACAAAATCAAATCCATCAGTAACAAGCGTGAATGCTGATGATGGAGTTTCAACTTCCCAAAAAGGACACTATGTAGATGACATCCTCAAGGATAAGTCAGAGAAAGATAAGGAACTGGAAGCAAAGTTGTACTATGTCAGCAAACCAATCAGAAAAGATGGCAACATGGTTGTCACTCTTGGTGTTCATGTGGATGATTTGTCTGAGTTTACAAAACAATTCGATATTGGGATGTTGTTCATCGATGAAGCAAGAAAGACGTTTTCTTTTTCGGTGAATTCGCCTGATGAATACAAGTCGGACCCAACTATGTTTGAGGTTACGATTCCAATACCAGCAAATGCACGATTTGTTAGATTTGTAGCAATGCTTAAAGACACCATAAATTCAGAAGGTGAATTCATAGCAGAAAAGTTCTCAATTGATAGTGAAACTGGTGAGTTTACTGAGGTAGAAGAAGATAGTAAGGATAATAAGGGCAGTAAGGATGATAAGAGCAATAAGGGCAATAAGGATGGTAAAGACGGTAAGGATGGTAAAGATGATAAGGGCAGTAAAGATGGTAAGGATACGGATGTTGATGGCAAAGGCAATGGAAAGAGTACTGATGATAAGGATAAGACCGAGAGTACCACACCAGACAGTGGAGTACAGGAAACAGAAGTTGGTGAAAATACCGGAAAAGGCAACAAGGATAATGGTACTGAAACGTCTAAGAATTAAGACTAGTTCTTAGAAATGAATAAATGTGAAAATATGACTACCTTTTCAGGTTCAATGAATTAAACAAACTCGTATTTTATAGCAATAATCGTGGACGAATTGAATCACCACGCAGTAAAAGGATTCGTGGTCTGGAGATAACGGCTAATAAAGATGATCAGGTTTTTGATTGTTTCCTGATATAGCGAAGAAACATCGTGATTCCTTGCGCAAAACGTCATTTTTTGAGTTTACCAATTGCGCACAAATTTCTGGTCAGTCCTGTTTAATATCCGTTTCTTATTCAGAGTCGTGTCTCACTTCTTTCGTGAATTCTTCTCTGATCTTAGTCATTTCCCCCTTTAGTTGTACAAGCTGTTCAGTAATGCCTTCTTCATCTTTTGCTTCTATTTCCAGTTTCTTTTCTTCATCAATTCTTTTATCTATTTCTGCCATTTTCATCCATATATTGTATTGTTTTTTCAACTTCTCGTTTGTTAAATCTGATATGCATTCCGTGTCAGCCTCTTTTGTCTGGCTCAACTCATAATAATCCATCTCATTCTTTTTGACCTCTTTATACTTCACTATTTCTTGCTCTAATTGGCATATTTCCTTTTCAATAGCTTTAAGCGTTGACTCACATTTCTTTTCAACATTAAATTCAATATCACTTGCTGCAGATGCTATTTTTGATACAAACAATGCCACCAACATTATTGGGGTTCATATTAACAAATCATTTTTATTTTTGATTTAAAAATCAATTCTTTTATTTTGTCTTCGATGATTTTTGTTTCAATTCCAGCACTGAAAACACCTTCCTTTTCCATCGATAATTTAAATTCATCCTTATAACGTTTAATTCATCCTGAGTTCTTTATAAAAAATGATAATATTATGATCTTTTTGTAGTTATTTCACTGTTATGTGTTACCTTCATCATCCAATATATCCCATGAATGAGCTAATATTGATCAATTTATTTATTCTTCTCCAACAGCATACATAAAGTTCCACACATGTCGTTGATTCCATCAATCTTCTTACTTATTATATCTGCATACACTTCATATTCCACTAAGATATATTCAAAGGTCCTTAATGAATCTAATTCAATCACATGTTCAGAATACTCCTGATGTTTTTTCGTTGTAATTTCCCTAAACAATGCTACTATCCCTTTCAACTCATCCCAGTGCCTAATTAATTCTTCCAACTGTTCAAGTAAACCATCAAATTCATCCACGATCTCATTCTGATTCATTCCCAACACTTTGAATACCTTTGGATTTCTAATTACTGCAATTAGTTCACTGTACTTTTGAATATTTCTTACAATTGATATGTGTTTCCTTAATTGCGTCACATGCAATACTTCATACTCTGCTCTCATTGATTGAACTTCTGCTTCAAGTTGCTTGATTACCACTGCATCTGGATCACTTTGATCAACCTGTTCGTTATAACGAGTAAACAGGTTCATAACACTACCAAACCAATTCATAGGGTTGCAATTTTCAGGTATTAAATATTTGATACAAGAATACTCAAAGTTCAATCTGGTGTTTCTTTAATCTATTCAATTCAACCATTTTTAACAGTCTTCTTCTCCAACAATTCCCCATTTTCCTCACTATATATTTCATAGTCCACCATAATACCCCAGCATTTTGGATACGTTCCTTCTTCCATAATAACTCGCTTTGGCTTGCATACAAATCCCTTAATCATGTTCTGGATATCGTTACCACATACCACAGGTGTTCCAATTGCAACTGCCTCTCCCTTTGATGTCATCATCACCACATCATCATTCGTATCAATGGTCTCATCGTACATCCATACACCTTGAACTGATAGACTCGATCCAGCACATATTGAGCCAACTGCAGAGTCCTTCAATACAATTCGCTTGTAGTTGATCAACAAAGACTCAAGTGGCTTGATCAATTTTCTGAGATATTTTTCATCTCCAGTTTTCTTGTAAACGTATTGAGCATCCAGTAAATCATGAAGGGTAACACATTCTTCCTCTGTGACGTGTCCTGATTTGATTCTTCTTAGTTCATCCATCTCAGCTGGTACTCCAACATAAAGCCCAATATGCGTACAAAGTGTTCTGATGTACGATCCGGCTTCACAACTCACTTCGAATAGGGCCCTATCTTTCGCAAATTCAATGATTTTAATCTCGTAGATCCATCTCAATCTGAGTTCTCGTTTCACGGCACAAAGAAGAGGCGGTCTCTGTAGCAGATGCCCAGTCAGAAACTCACAGGCTTTTCTGAACTTCTTTTCTGACACCTCTTCTTCGAATTTTATTTCGCAAATATACGTTTTACCAGCACTTTGTTGTGCTTTGGTTAGTCGAGTACTCTTGTTCAGACACACACTCAATACACCAGTTACCTTTGGATCGAGTGTACCAGAATGACCACTCTTTTCACAGTTTAAGATATCCTTTACCCAAGTCACCACTTCATGAGATGATGGATTTGGTGGCTTATCAATTGTGACTACGCCGTATTTCAGATAATCTAGGAGTGGTCTATTCTGTGGCATGCATCCACTAGCAGTTGGTGAGTATTCTGCATCCCTTATACGCAGTTTATCAATGTCTTTCAACAAATATGAATTATCCTTCATTTTGGGTGAAATTTTTTATACTTCTTAGGCGAACTAAAATGGCTTATTTTGCCTACTGAAATTGTTCTACCTGAATTTATTTTGAAATCACCCAACCTAAAGATGCAACAAAATACAAAAATAGAGGATATGAAAGATAGGATAGGACTGGAGGATACACCCAGTATTATAGCTGAATTGAGAGAATACGATACAGAATACCACGTAGATGTGCTATATCTCCTGATATTGGATGACATGAAGACAACTATGGAATACATTCATAAAGCAAAGTATAACATAGCATTCTACATAAAACTAATCAAAGCAGTCTGTTTCAGCAGCTACACACCGCACAAGATGGCAGCATTGGAAATTATTGATCAGATTCTAGAGAAACAAAATGAGGCAAATCAATACGTGCCTTATTTGAGAAATAAGCTATCATATTATTTCAATGACAAAGAAGTTAAAATACAGGTAGAAACTGTAAGAATCATTGCCAAATACTCGATATTTGACGAAAACAAGACGATATTAATGGGAATAGAATTGTATGGTTCGAAATACGAATCACTGAAGTGCATGGCTATAGATTTGTTTCTAAAGGTGGATTTGAAGAAAATTGAGTATTTGATTGATGAAATGATGAACAGTATAAGCTACAGGGTAAGATATAATCTGGTGATGAAGGTGTGTAGATTTAAAGAAAGCCAAGAGAACAGTCAAATAGATAACTTGCTTAGTAAAATAATGAGGAAGCTCCATCGTGATGACGTAGAATGTATAAGGGAGTTTATTTACAAGAGAGAGGAGTTCTATAGGATACACAATGGGACAACCCTATTTCAAATACTGGATATTATGGTAAAGAAGAAGGTGACGTCTTCATTAAGAAGCGTATTCATTAAGAATTGTATAAAATATACAAAACTGTTTGAGAATCTGACAATGGTAGAGAAGTACATTTTGCCTGAAGATTGGGAGATAAAACAGCATATATTCAGTCTGAATACTGCTGGAATCAATCTATCAGGTGTAATAGAAGATTTGGTTGGAAAGAACATCAAGGACTACAACAAAATAGTTACTATTCTGGACAAGATTGATGATACCAGTATAACAAATGGTACCATTTCACTGTTAATCAGCCTATTATCACACAAAGTAAGCATTGTTAGAAAAAAGGCCTGTGAAATTCTGCTCAGGAAGTTAAGTCTAAAAACAAACAAAGTCTACTTATTGAGTACCAGAAAACGAACCAAAACGACTTCTGAAGAATGTCTTGTTGAAAACATAGGAGAACAGAACTATTTGGATATTATCAAGCTGAATACACATACGAAATATCAGGTGCGAGAAGATTGCAAGGAATTGCTTAAATTATTTTTATAGTACGTTACACTGGTTCATATTGTACCTGTTAAATGATTTCAGGTACAATTTCACCTTCTACACCTTAAATTTGATCTTTTTAACTTACCCCTTTATAATTTATGTTATCATCACCCCAATGACAAACAATGATGATTCTCTGACGAATACAAATAACTACTTTCTAAACAGGGAGTGTTACAACTGTATCAACTGCAGCAGCTGCTTATACTGTATCAATTGCAAGAATTGTACCGGTTGCATTGGACTGATCAATTGCGTAGGATGTCTTGCATGTGCATTCTCTGCTAATATGGCTGGTGTAGTTGGCACATTTGGATCCATCAACATCTGTGGTACTATTGCTGCATTCATGTGTGCTAATGTGTGTGGTGCTACCACCATTGCACTAACAGTTAACGCGTTTCTGATTGCATTTGTTATACTTGGATTTGGGATTAGTGGATCTGTCTATACCCTCTACTCCAAACACGTTCTATTTAGTATGTTCCTATTCAAAGCAGTTGGAATACTTGGATGCATGGGAATATGGGGCCGTAAGCACATTTCAGGGTATATTAGACCAGGAATGTTCACAGTCTATTACGGATCAGGACTATTTTGGGGTGGTCCAGTAATGGGTAACTACTAATTCATAGGTAAATATAAATATTTGAACCCTGTTTTATGACAAAGTTGAGTTTTGAGGATGGCTCAGATACTGAATCAGTTAAGTCTATTTTACATAAAAATAATGATAAACGCATAAACATGGGTAAGAAAACAAACAATATAGACGAACAAGGTAAGAGATGCAACATGAGTGACAATAGGGAGCAAGAAGCCAAGATACAGCCAACAATGGTACAGGGACCAGACTGTACCAGAATATACGATATGTCAGTATTTAAGGAAGTGAAAGAGAACCAGTCTGAATCACCCTACAGGTGCAATGCAATTAGAAGAAGAGAAATGAGTAGAACTATGGCAGACTTACAGGAAATGGCAACAAAACAGTCTAATATTGAGCTAAGCAAAGAAGACCTATCTGAATCATCCTGTATTATTTTGAGTTCTGAAGAAAGCAGTGAAATAGAAATCAAAGAAGTCAAAATGATCAAAATACCAAGAAATGAATTTAATCTGAGAGATGCCATCAATAGGGTGGATATTCTGAATGTGAATGGAATCAGAATCACAAAGAATGATTTGTGTAGATTGTTGCCTGGAGTATGGCTCAATGACAAACTGATCAATGCGTATATGACACTTCTGGCTACCAAATTCAGCCGTGTTAAATTCTATAACACGTATTTCTTGGAGTCAGCCACCCTGGGAGGCCAAACTGACTCAAACAAAACACGCTGTAATGTTGATTACGCTAAAGAAAGAAGAGACCTAAGAAAGTACGAAATGGCCGTCTTTCCAATCCACTCTAACGCACATTGGATCATGGCCAGGTTTCAGAGAAATGTCCTCTACGTCTACGACTCACTCGATACAAACTGCTATAGGGAAATATACACATTAAGGCGCATTCTGGAGAATATCACAGGTAATAAAATCAATACAGCCAGTCCAGCTGCTTTCAAGGAAACTGGGCCAATTCCAAAACAGTTCAATGGCAGTGATTGTGGCGTATTCCTGTGCATGTACAGCAAGAAGATTGCAGGAGACTACGCCTTCTATAATGGAGACATGAATGAATACAGAAAGAGAATATGCCATGAATTGGTTGAATGTCGCATATTATACAGTCACAAGAAAAAATAGATCAAATAATTAGTTCACTAGTCAGTTCCTAGCAAGACACTCTCTCAAATATCCAATCCACTCCTTCCTCATTTTTTCAACATTTTCGTTATCATAGTCCTCACTTTCTGATTCACCAATATCCTGGAACTCCTTCATTGCATCTGCCTCATTCTCCCTGCTAATTGGTTCATATTCCCTCCAAATGAATCTGGTTAGTCCAGGAAGAAGACTCTTGTAAATCAACTTTCCATCTACATTGAATATTTGCACCATTCCACCAGACTGATTCACATTACATGAATACACGCACAAATAGAGGCCACTTTGAGACCAGCACATTCCAGTTGCACCCTTCTGAGAGTATTTCCTGATTAAATCACCCCTATGATACATTTCAACTGTCTCATTCATTTTGTCGTAGATTTGGTAGAACCTGAAATGAGGGTGGATTTGTGCAATTGATTTCCCAAGCAAATTGATCTGCTTGACCAGAACGTAACTGAATTTGACTCTTTCGTAGAATAGAACTGAATTATTTGATGTGGTGATCACAAACCCATTATCAGCAAATTCAGTCGAAACCAGGCTACCAGTTATAGCAGGAGTCACCGATACAATCTCAGTACCAGTGAAGCAGTCTATTGAATACTGATCAATGTTATTGATTCTCTTTCTGATCACAGCATACATTCTTGATCTACTGAAGTGGAAATCAACTTCTGATACATTCAAGTAGTTCTTTGATCTATCTGCTGTCACAATTCTGTTATTGATGAATGCAGCGTATTTGGTTCCATTCGTTCTGAATGTGACTCCCTCATTGAAGTTGATTCCATTGATTTCGCCTTTCTTTCTTCCTGTCTCCAGTTCGACTACCCCATTGTTGTAGTAAAAGTAACTCACATTTTCATCCACAAATATTCCGTAATGTTTTTGTGTATTGGTGTTACGCAATATCTCCCTACACTTTCTGAACTCATAAACTACCACTTCTTCAACTGTTTCTACTACCAAATAGACATCATCACTACTAAATGTGCATCTTAGTATGGTTGAATCAAAGTGTAAGTCGTAATACGCCTGTAACTCGTCTCCAACCATAAATCTGACTTCTTTGTCTCTTATGAATCCAAATATGTTTCCACAGTGTGTTGTGACGAAGTTGTTGATGTTATCGAGTGTAGAACAGTTCTCTACGTCCTTCTTGTGGACTGTATACGTCTCAAGGATGCTTCTGTGTAGCACGAAAAACTGTTCATTTTTAACCCAATCGTAGTTGAATGTAACTGGATTCAGATTTCTATGGCGTATTTTCTTATTTATGAGGGTGTTTAGGCTGTGTCTAGAAACGACTTCGTAATCGTCACTTCTGTCTAGTTCAACATCGCCCTCCACTACGAATACGTCACTATCACACTCATACTCGTGGTTGCTTAGTTTATTGCGTAATTCTGGTGCACACTTCTTGTTTTTTATGTAGATTATTGTGGTCATAGATTAGGGATGTAAAAATGATAAAAATACTCAGGTGGATTAGTGTAATAAAATGGGTAGGAGAACTATGAGGAATATTGTTTTGGGAATAATTTACCCCTAACTTATTCAATTGAAAAAGACCAGTGAAATACAACAAGAATCTTGATAAAGAGGAACAGATACAGAATAAGGAATAAAAGAATGCAGACACCTGACGGACCTGAATGTAACAAGAAGTAATTAGCTACTGGTAACTAGTTTAACAGAGAGTAAGAAGTCAATGATCAATATTTATTCCTAATTATCGTATATCATTGTAATTCCATACTCAAAATCAACCAAATTGTACTCTCCTGAGACACCAACGCGTATTTTGTTGGATATCTCCTCGTCCCAACTGAAATTCATCAGGAACCCACTGTTTATATTCCACTTTATTTCAGACCTGTTTCTTTTTAGCCTCATTCCTGCCAGAAATGTTCTAGTTCTCTCTCTGATGTTACTCTGGACTTCTACACCTGCATCCAGAATGCTACTCAGTCTCCTATAGTAATTCACCCTTAATAGATTGAACTTCTGCATGTTCACGCATGTCACACTATTTGCTGTCGCATACCTTCCAGATACTCCCAATCCAAGTCTATTGTTCACCGATACCACTTCCATCCCACAGCCCACTCTTCCAAACTCCTTCCAGTAGTTGAAAATGTAGACCAAATTGCTCATTTCAAAGACTGGTTTAATTGCCTTTAAGCTTAAATTATATGTAAGTCTATTTAGAGTCAGATTGATTGTACTGAATACTTCTCTCCTATCACTTACTACACCATGGTATGATATTGCTCCATTACTACACATTCTACTGAATACCTTACGTAGTTTGAGTTGATAGCTTCCATTTGGTTCAAATCCAACCTGTAGAATTGTGCTTGGATTCAAGGAGTCATGTGTTGTGAAGAATGTCATAAAATACTGCTTGGAGTACTTTGTGATGCTACTTGTTAGTTGCATGCAGTTACCAAGTGTCTTGGATACTTCTAGCTTGTTTCCCAGATTCACTATACAGCTGGTTGTGTCCTTGAATTCCCTATCAAAAGAATCAAAAGTTGTTGAAGTTGGTTTCGGTGTTCTATTTTTGGAAGTAAGAAAATTGAACATTCTGGGGCAGAAAATATGCAAATATCAAGGCAGATTTTATAGTTTAATACGGGTAGAATATACTGGATTGATTGATTATTATTTAAATATGTGGAGGTTAAATTAGTTAGAATGATAACCAAGGTGCGCTGTAATGCAAACAACCTGATACATCATATATGGATATTGGTTTTTTGATAACACGTAATATATAAAAAAGATGTTATCTTAGCCCATGTTACTGATATTTATGATCAAAGTATTGTGTGCTGTGGGTGGATGTGAATCTGGGAAGGATGTTATGAATGAACTGGAACAGTTACGTGAAAGTGCACAGGAAAACTTCGAGGATATCAAAAATAACGTAACTGACTATGAAGAGACACTTAAAATCGAAAGGATAGCAGACACAAACTTACCAATCAAGCAACAGGAAGAGATAATCAAACAAGGTTACCCTGAATTTACTAATATTGATTTCAATAAGGATTTCAATGAAATATTGGAGTCACTCAGAAATTATGCCAATACAACACGAGAACCATATAATGACGTTGATGAATATTATGAAATGCAGGTGGATAGCTTAAATAAGATATATGTGGTGCAACATTTGTTCTTTGTAAAGAAAAAGATACATTTGAAGCATATGTCACTTTACCTGAGAGCAGTTAATTATGATATGCAACTTAACAATCAACAAAATAGACAAGATGGAAGTGAACAATGTGTTTATAACTGTTTTGTGAGTGAAACAGTTGCATGCAACTCAGTATCAGGAATAAAAGAAATTACAGATGCAATTTTCAATAAGAACAGTGAACTTATAAAAATGACAAAAATGTTTAGAAAGCTTGAAGAAACGATTCTTCGCTTGTTGGACATAAAAAAGGGATTTCTCGATGCGTTTTATAACAAGTTGTATGAAAATGCCATTTATGAAATAGAAATTACCGGGGCAGCGATACCAACAGATGAACATATCCAACAGTAAACTAAAAATATGAACATTTTTGCTTTACGTATTTTTCATACAGTCAATCAGGTCGCTAATAAGGTTTAAAGCATCTGATTTAATGATACCTGATAATAGGAAAGGTAGTTGTATATAGTGTGTCTCTAGATGAGTAGTACAAGCATATGCCTCGTTTATGGTATCGACATGGAAATTGATTGATTTTGAAATTATTCAGAGGATACTTCAATAAATGAGTAAAACTAAAAGTTTAAAACTCTTAAGACTTGTAAATGCTACTGCCAGGTACAATACACATTGTCGGATAGTTGAATTGATATTAGAAAAAATGCCAAACTTATTAAACGGACTATATAGGAAACAGTTTCCTACAAACCATAAGTTTCGACAATGAATCAACGTTAAATGCCACATCCAACAATATCGATAATCATTTTTTTGATAACACGTAATATATAAGAAAAATATTATTAACCCATGCTATTGATATTTATAATTGAGACACTGTGTGCCATGTGTGAATGTGAATATGCGAAGGATATAATGAATGAACTGGAGCAGTTACGTGAAAGTACACATAAAAACTTCGAAGGTATCAAAAGTAAGATCGCTGACTACAAGAAGGACCTGAAGATTGAAAGAGAAGATGATTCAAAGTTACCAATTAAGCAACAGGAAGAAATAATCAAACAAGGTTACCCTGAATTTACCAATAGTGATCTTACTGGGGATTTTAAGAGCCTACATGACTCTTTATGTGATTACCGATCTGAATTAGTAATTCAATCACCAATTCAATCACCAATTCAATCACCAACTCAATCACCAACTCAAAGAATGACTGCTGATCAATATCATAACTTGCAGAAGACAAGTTTAGAGAAGATGCTGGTTGTACAAAAAAAGTTCCTTGAAATGAAAAAGGTTCACTTGAAACATAGGTCATTCTACCTGAAAGTAGCAAATTGGATTGATAGCCGCAAGAAACAACAAAGTGACACGTCCTCATGCCCAGAAACACAAGCTGAATTAGAGGGGGAAATGGATACGATTGTAAGTGAAGTGCGTGATAATAAGGAAAGCTTGGACAATACAAAGACTAAATTGAAGAAATATGAGACAACAATTGCAAATTTGCTTATTGTCAAGAAAAATATGCATGGTGATTTGCAAAGTTTATTACGAAGGTGAAGCTACAGATTGATAGAATGCTATCATAGTAGATGCATTTAATGGTAAAGTGTTGGGTACAGCATTTATTGAGGTTCAAGGTAAACCGTTTCTTATATAGTCCTTTTGATAAGTTTGACACTTTTCCTGATATCAATTCAGCTATCCGACATAAAGGATATTTCTTGTCTATGTCATAACAAACACCTTTATCATGTTTTTGACCATTTGATACTACTAATATCAATTTAACTTATCATTGTCCATGTCATATATTTTTGATCTATTAACTTTCTAATATGATATTTCTGATTTCTTGAATTGTACTGAAATGCAGTGAAATGTAAGATATATAACACAATATACAGATATCAAAATATAAATAACGGGTATTTAAATGTAATATTGTTATTAGCCCATGTTATTACTCTCTATTGGATTCGTGTTTAGCGCATCTCACAGGGAAACGTCTGTTGTAGGTAGTTTGATAGATATATGCTCTCAATCTATACAGCTGGCACAAACTAAAATTGGCCAAGATGAGGAAATTAGTGAACTCCTTACCACCCTGAATTCTCAATTCAGTGATTTTGCCAATGTGGGATTTGATGATAAGGAAAAAATGGTAAGAGAACAATATGATGAATTCATTACTAGGATAAATCAAATGGATGTAAACCAAGTGAATGATGCCATTAGTGAGTATGAAAACAGTATGTTACTAATTAGTATAAATTACTCATCACTAGATGATGTTGAAGCGAAACACAGCGAGTTGTCTAGTAGTATAGACAAGTTAAAGGAAGTATGCGAGTTGTATGAGAACCAAAAAAAGGAATTATTGAAGTGCTGTCTCTACTGTAAAATGGTGAAGCTTTACCACGAACTGCATCAACAGAAAAGTGAATCTGGACGTAGTGATGTTGGTATACTAGATGATAACTCTCATTTGTTGGAAGTAGAACACTTCTATTTTGATGATAGTGGATTATCATCTGATACTGATATGATTGGTATTTGCAAGGTTGTTAATGAGAATGTATGTAAACTCGTTGATATGAGAAAAGAACTGCAGGTTCTCAGAGCGAAAAGAAACGCACTGATCCAAGACTGTGTTTTATCAACCAAGACGCTCAATTAATTAATTCATTCGCAACTCTAATTCCACTACATCAAATGTATCAAATACTTCTACTTTCTCCTTCCTAATCATTCTAGCACATATTTCCCTGACATTTTCATCATAATGATCCCTGTATATCCATATGCTATATGGAATAGACTCGTATCTGTTGCACAACATTAGCATTCCCATTATCAATGATGATCCATACATGTACACATTATTCATCACTTTCTCCAGTAAACTGATATTACTTGGATTCTTCCTGACGTATTCTTCTACTTCCGTAATCAAAATGACCTCTGATCCAGTAAATCTGGTGATGTTTCTCATTAAAAACGTCTCAAACTGCGAGTCATTGATTCTATTCAGCATCTTCAGAATCAATGGCACTACTCTACTTCCTCCCACTGCCCTATAGTTGCGCATGTACTCCAATAGCCCCTTATTGATATCATCAATCTTCTCTTCCTTCATATTCAAAACCATTCCACCAATTATGCTTTCATAAAGCAGCTCTCTCTCATTCGCCTTGTATTCTTCATCAACCGTGACCGTGTTGTAGAATTCAACTAGGCCACTCCCCTCCTTCTTCCTCAACAACTTCAGTGCATTGTGCTGTGCCCTGAATGTGTCATTTTTGAAGAAGAAATCCTCCAAATTACTCAAAATCAGCTTCCTATGAATTGAGAAGTTCTCACTGAGATATTTGCTGCTGTAATTATTTAAGTTGCTGATTATTATGGAAATCATATCATCAACTAATACACCTGCCCTAGCTAACTCTTCTGCCAGCACCAGTGTCTTTTCTCCTATGTACTTGTTCCTGCTATTTATTTCGTACGACTTCACTACTCTTCCTATGATATACCCATCTGTAATCATCTTATCGTTTTTCTGTAGCTCAATCATCAAATCCCTGATATTCTTTAGAACGTAGTAAATCGTATCATTTCTCTGGTTCTCTACAAATTGTAACAGATTCTTCATGTTCAGATTGGATGGATCAGTTGTACAGACAAGTGTAGCCATGTTTATTCTATCCAATAGGGCACCATGTTGTAGCATATGCTTCTCATCTTGGGTGAGTATCTTCTTAGTCTTGTTTGATTTGGTGATTCTGAATTTGCTGGTATTATTTGGGATTTCATTTTCACTATCAGTGAATTTCTTATTCTTGTTGTTTCTAATACTCTTATTGTTTCTACTATTCTCACTTCTCTTATTGCTCCTACTGTTTTCATTTCTCTTATTGCTCCTACTATTCTCACTCCTCTCACTTCCATGATTTATCTTAATCTTACTTTTTTCAATATTTTCAGTGCATCTCTTAGCATAATCATTTGCTCTATAACTCACTGTCATCACACCATCTACCTTCTTAATCATCACTTCGTTACTCTTCTTCACTCTCTTCTTCATATCAATCTCAGAATATTTCTTAACCATTTTGGGATAAAAATTCCCATGAATAAAAATATTCAGAGACTCTACAGCACATTTGGAATCCCATTGAAGTACGACATAGACCTAGGTGTGCTGAAGAAGAACTACTATAGACTGGCAAAGGATAGCCAGAACAACGACTACGTCAATGATGGATACAAGAGACTCAAAGACGACTATCTTCGAGCCAAGGCATTTCTACCAGATGAAATAGATTTAGATCAATTCAACAAGTTCAAGAACAACTTTCTGGACACGTGTCTTGATTTGGAGACCAAAATAGCAGAGAATAAACAAAATAGAACTAAACTGAATAAAATAGCAGAAGAATTAGATAGGAAGATTGATGAATGCAAAGAGCACTATAATGAAATAGAATACTTGAACAAATGGAGCTATTATAGGAGACTAAGGAATATGATAGAGTGAATAGATTAAATAGTAGATAGTCAATTAGTTTGTTAAGGTGATAGCTAACAGCAGTAACTTACCTTGTTCGAGCATGCTTGTTTGAGATGCCCCTAAACAAGTGACGTGGCTTATTGTCCACAACTCTCTTCTCACTCTCCTGTTTCACTTTCTTGTTGTGTTTGACACTGCCTGCATTTGGCCTCGTGCTCTGCTCATTGGCCACGGTGGCTTCCTCCACTTCGTGTCCCTTCACAACCAGTCCCCTCTTTCTGAATATGTTCTGCTGTACTGCCTTTCTCCTACAGTCATTAATCTGGTCGTACAACTCGTATTCTTCCTTATTCAATACATCGTACTCCTCCGCATTCCTGCATGCTACGTCAATCTGCCTCACTGCTTCCAGAATATTCCCATGGCCATAGAAATCCATGATATTCTTCCCATTCATTATTTCTGGAATTGTATCGTACTTCTCACTAGTCAAATACGCCTCATTCTCCATCCTTATTCCACTTAGACTGTTTGTTCCAAGATGGCTTCCTTGATAAATTGGCAGCTTCTGCCTGCTTTCAACTACTCTTATTCGGTGCATAAACCCATCCACCTTCTCCTGTTTCATCTCCACCTTCTCATCCAATATTGTCTCACAAGCCAAACTGGTTAGTCTTGAGAATGATTCCTTATCCATTCTTGAAATGGTAACTACCACCTTATTCTCTAGAAACTCATTCAATTCAACTGGCACCTCTTTCACCAAATCGCCCTTTGCCAGAACAATAATGAACTTGGAGTTCAATAGGACACTTATGGAATTGAAGAGGGCAACCTGTTCGGCCAAACTGTGGCCACATGTCCCACTTGCATCAATGAAGAAGAGAACTACGCTCTTTAGATGGGCCATTGCTCCAATTGTAAGCATCTCAACCCTGCTCCTTTCATCCAGGGCGTGATCCAGAATTCCAGGCGTATCAAGAAACTGGTATTGGAGACTCTTGTGCTCAACGTGTCCAACAAAGATGTCCTTGGTCGTGAAGGCGTAGTCTGCGACCTCGCTCTTGCATTTGGTGACTGCTGCAACGTAGGACGACTTCCCTACGTTTGGGAATCCAGCAACAATCGCAGTTCGACCAAGTGGATTTATGTGCGGAAGCCTATTAAAGTGCTGCCTGACTTCCTCAAGGTACTTCAGCTCGTTCTTCAATTTGCTTGCGAGACTGGCCATCTGCCCCAGTCCAGCACGTTTCAGACACTTGCACCTGTACATCGTATCACCGTATTTGATCATTTTGATGGAATGCTTTGCAATTTGGCCTATTTTACCCCTGGTTGAGTTCAACTTGCCTAATGATATTTTGTAGGTGTCTTTATCGTACAAAATTGTAATTAGCTCACTGAAGAATGGGTGAATGTCATCCAGAACAGGGAATTCAGCCAGAATGTGCTCAATTCGCTCTGAAAACTGCTCAGCACAGAAGCGGATCTTTCTGATGTAGAAGTTTCGTATTCTTGTGATCTCAAGGTGTCTATGGATGACTGTTGGTGTTCCTCTGTTCGTTTTACTGAGACAGATGTCGACTAGCTCATTTGCCTGTGGCACTGGTGCAATTTTATTGAATCTGATTGTCATTTGGGGGAGATACGCAAATTTTTATACCCAGAATGAAGAGCAGTCACCAAGAAAGACTGATTATCAGCAAGGAACCAAGTAGTCACCCAGTAAACGAGTTGATTCGGATTGGAGAGGAGTGTCTCAGAATAAAAGAGGACTTTGACACGTTCAGCAACAGCGAGAGGGCAGTAAGAATGGCATTCAAGAAAAAGTGCACCAAAATAATCGGATTTGACTCAGAGAGGCTGGTTCTGAGCACTCTCTGTGGAAATCAGCTGCTTTCAAGTTACAAATTCAGAATTACGTCATCAGTGAGTTACAAGGAGATCAATTTGGAAGAAAACAGGGAATTGAATGAGAATGAAACTGGTAGAATACTTCCACCTGAGAAGTACGCCAGGTACGCCGTACTGACACTTGGTTTGAATCAGACTGATGCAAAATTCATGTACCACTTTTGGAATAGCAAAATAGCCAAAATTGATTTGGATGCCATTGAGTACGCCCTGGTTGTTGAGGCAGTTGAAGACTCTTTCGTACTGAAGTACGTCAGAATTGCTTCAGGAAGGGTGGAAGTCTGTGGACCAGTGATTAGGATGGAGTTAGTTGAGAAGTACCACAATGATGAGTTGTACAGTTCATGCCTAGTTAAGAAGAAGACCACTAAAAACGTGACCAAGAATGCAACTAAGGATGTTGTAGGCAAAATATACCTAAATAAGCAGGATCTCAAGGACATCAAACTAAGGAAGAAATAGGTGGGAAATGGGAGACAATTTGGCAACCACTCACCATAACTAACTACTGCTTCTTCCAGTAATAAACGGGTGATGAAGTAGTTCCCTACAATTTGGTCTCTTTCTTGGATCATAATCTGTGCATATCCTCACAAAATCACAGTATTCCACTGATGAGAGTGGCTTGAATTCGTGCTGCGTCTCTCTCTTGTTGTACTTCTTCCTCCACTTTTTACACCACTCTTTATCACCCTTCTCCATGTACGAGAGTGCCCATGCTGTCATTCCTAACTGATAAATATCCGATTCAATCATCACCCTATTTTTACGATATTCTGGATCAACATACCCCCTAGTGAACACCTGTCTACGATTCTTCACATTCTCAGGTACTAAATCCACAATTGTATCCAAATCAATCAGTTTATACGTTATACTCCCATTTTCACCCGTTTCACCCATGATATTATCAGGTTTAATATCAAGATGAACCAGTTTCTTACTATGCAAGTATTCCAGTCCCAGTAGTACTTGTTGTACAATTGATCTTATTCTGTTTTCATCATTATTTATCAGCCTACTATCAATAATGACATCACATAACTCATAGACTGATGCCACCAAAATGAATTTCTTCTTCTTTTTCCTCCTACCAATCATTCTCTTTATCGCCCAACAATACACTTTCATAATATTTGGGTGATTTATCCTCTTTCTTGTGAATGCTGGTGAATCACTCTTAATAGTGGATAGTTTCACTGCATATGCACCTGAATTATCCCTATAAACCACACCATTTCCTCTTTCATAAACCACAGTCAAGTTGTGCTCTACCACAACCTGATTCCATTTTGCTAAACTCATAGATCCACACCTGTACTCCTCAAATTTATCCAAGAATGTCATCAACGTCTTCTTCAACTTCATGTTCACCTGTTTGACTCTTTCTTCTGATGCTGCTCTCACTAACTGTAACAGTATACTGGTACACAGAATACTGTTACATAGAATACTGATACATAGAATACCTGTATTCATTAGGATGGTAGTATAAAACAGTAATTGATCAGGCAGTAATATGTTGTAGTATATTGTAATGTATTGTAATACATTGTAGTGTACTCCAATATATGTGACTGATCACTCTTTGTTTGTTTCCACTAATCATTACGTCATTACGTCATTATAGTTGTAGTTGTCATAGTTATTCAATAATACCTGAATAAATATCCAATACAGAATAAGGCACATTAATTTACTACCATATTTACTACTACTACATTTATTACCATATTTACTATACTATATTTTCTACCATATTTATTTCTCTCATATTTTCCCACCCATGTCAAATGCAATTGATCTATTCCACGACTACCTGCATCACAGCAGTAGCATATCTGACCAAATAGATGGAATCATCCTCCAGAATGGCCAGACATTCTACTGCGACCTCGATTCAGTGACTGAATTCAGCCCAGTCCTAGCACAGTCAATCCGCCTAAACTACTCCAAACTGGCCCAGTCTCTTCAGAAGACCTTCGACACCTTCTGCACCGCCCAATTTGACAAGACAGTGGCCCTCTCGTTCTGCAACAGCGGCGTCCGCCTGAGAATGCGAGACCTCAGAACCAGCGAGGTCGGCCGCCTGGTCTCGTTCACTGGAACCGTGACACGAACGAGCCAGGTGAAGCCTGAGCTCGTCCGTGCCACCTTCCGGTGCAGAATGTGCCAGACGGCCATCCCGTCCATCGAGCAGCACTGCCACTTCGCTGAGCCGCTCTTCTGCCCCAACAACCTGTGCACGAACAGAAGCCACTTCTCGCTTTTGGTGGAGCAGTGCGAATTCAGCAACTGGCAGAAAATAAGCGTACAGGAGCAGACGAACGAAATTCCAAAGGGGTCTCTTCCGCGAGGCATCGAAGTCGTCGTCAGGGACGAGCTGTGCGAGCAGATCAAGTCGGGGGCGCACGTCGAGTTCACCGGCCACGCCGTCTGCGTCCCAGAGGCGCCGAGGACGCAGCTCGGCCGAAGCGTGGCCCTCTCCGAGCTGGCCGGCGAGGGAGGCCGCTGCGGCCGAAAGAGCGCCGTCTCGCGGGAGCTCTGCTTCCGCCTCCTCTTCGTTGCCGTCGCCTTCCGCCCCTGCGAGCCGCAGGAGACGGCAGCCGACTCCGACGGCCTCCTGGCCAAAATGGCCCTGGTTCCCTCGCTCTACCAGAAATTGGCCAACTCGCTCTACCCCACGGTCTGTGGCCACCAGAACATCAAAAGCGCCCTTCTTCTGATGCTCGTTGGTGGCTGCGCCAAGAAGGCAGACATCTCCCTCAGGGGAGACATCAACGTCCTCCTCGTTGGAGACCCAGGAACAGCGAAGTCGCAGTTTCTGAAGCAGACGAGTCGCCTTCTTGGACGAGGAAACTACGCGAGTGGAAAGGGAAGCAGTGCGGCTGGTCTCACTGCTGCCGTGGTCAGGGACGAATCAGGCGACTACACGGTCGATGCAGGGGCACTGATGCTCAGTGACAGGGGTCTCTGTTGCATCGATGAGTTCGACAAAATGACCAGGAGAGACCAAGTTGCGATTCACGAGGCCATGGAGCAGCAGACGATCTCAATCAGCAAAGCAGGGATCAATGCCACTCTCAACGCACGTTGCTCGGTGCTGGCAGCAGCAAATCCAATTCGTGGGAGATACGACACCAGGAAGACACTCAGGGCCAACGTGAATTTGAGTCCAGCAATTATGAGCAGATTTGATCTATATTTCGTACTGATTGATAAGATAGACAGGGCTGCTGATCAGGAGATAAGCAGGTACATTCTGGAGGTAAACAGTGGTGGTAGTAATGGTAGTAACAATAGTAATAATAACATTGCTAGTAATGGTAGTAGTAACAATATTACTAGTAATGGTGAAAATGGCAACACTACTACGCCCTTCACCTTCACCATTGGCGAGGCTGTTGCCTATATCAAACATGTCAAGAACAATAGGCCAAGAATAACTAGCAGTGCCAGAGATGCATTGGAATCGAGGTATATCAGAATTAGACAGGAGTCACTGCTCAATACCAGCAACTACAGAATGACAGTCAGGCACCTTGAATCAATGATTAGGTTAAGTGAGGCATTGGCCAAGATCCACAACAGTGACGTCACAGTGGAGCACGTTGATGAGGCGTACAGACTCATCAAGAGCAGTCTGGTAGAAATCAAGGCAGAAGGAGTCTTGATAAGCAACAAGTTGAGCAAGATGCACCTGAGTCTGAGCAAGAAGGAGTACAGTAAGATAGTAAGCATGATAGTCTACTGTATCAAGAATGAGGGTGGAATGAACAGGGGTGAGTTAGTGGTGGAGTATTTGAGGCAGATTGAGGAGAATGTGTCAAGCAGGGAGGAACTGGAAGAGGAGAGGCATCGAGCAGAGGAAGTGATTGAGTTCATGATGAGCAGTGAAGGAATACTCTATGAAATGGATGAGAAGATACACATTCATCCAAGTTGTGACATATGACAGTGTTAGTTGTAGTAGTAATAATAATTATAGTAGTAATAATAATGGTAGTAGTAATGGTAGTGATAGTAGTAATAATTACAGTAGCAACTTATAATTACAACTACTACAACTTATAACTATTACAACCTATAATTCACTCTATCTCTGCATCTGCCTCTCTTCTGTACGACACCCTTCTTCTTTTACACCCAAGTGCCAGTATCAGAAACACCAGAAATAACAGTGCAGTCGCCCCAAGCAGCAACCAGATGAACGTGTTACTACGAATGACCTTGATTGTCTTATTCTTAGTCGTATTCCTAGGTGCAGTACGGCTACCAGCAGAATCATCAACTGGTTTGGTTGGCGTAGGCTGATCAGGTGGATTCACCAGTTCAACCATGTCAATCTTACAGTAGTTCCCACTCTTCCTCTGCTTCAACCCTTCTATCAGCCTCTTTTGGTCCAACAACTTCAACTCCCCCAGTTTGGTCTCCTCCATTTTGATGCTACCTACTTTATGATCAATATTGAGGTGGATCTTAGTCAGTCGAACTCCATCCAATTCGATGAAGAAGAGTGTTCTATTTGCAGTAGTGAGTACGTACTCACCACTATCAGTCACTATTTTGTAGCAGAATAACTGCTTCTCTACCTCTGATGGATTATTTCTATCTTTAACCTGGTTTACGCTGATTGTGTAGTAGAATCCAAGCCATCCTCCCCTAGAGAAGTTGTCATAGAGGCTGTTTTGGTAGTAGAATAGGCCAGTCACGTTCTGTCTCTGAATGTGACTGAATATGCGTAGCTGATTGTAGTGCATGGAACAGAGATCGATGGTATCGGGGTAGAGGGCAGCCACCTGGCCAGGAACAGCCATTTCAATGGCATTTTTGGTCAGTGACATCGTGAAATCGGAGAGTGAGCTGCTTTCGTGGTACTTCTGGTTGTGTGACTCGATATTCTGGTTGAGACGGCCGTACTCGCAGCATTGCTTGTTTTTGTAGGTGATGCCACTGTTTTTGTTGTGGAGAAGGCGTATTGTTCCAAGTGGCATGGAGAGAGAGGTGTCCAGTAGAATTAGGACAAACAAAACAATCTGCATTAAAATGGGGCCATTAAAATAATATTTATGGTAAGGGGAGAGTAAATAGTTAGTTAGTTAGGTAGATAGATAAGTAGGTAGATGGATAGGTAGGTAGATAAGTAGATAGCCATGTAATATATTTGACTATACTACACTTACAACCCTTACAACACAATCAAATATACAGTTACAACACAATGCTATTCTACACCTTGCATATTTCAGTAAAGTGCCCATAGAAATATTTGCAGAACTCTACCAGTTGTAGAACTCGTTCAATCTCAATGTCCTTGTCCTTCTTCAGCAGCAGATTCGGCATCATCACAATTGAAATCCCATCTAAGTCCATCTGCTTGTCATTCTCAATCATTTCACTACATCGAATGCAAATCATGTAGCACAAGTAGACATTTGATTCAAGAATGCACCTGTTATTCTTAGGCAGGGCGTAGTAGAGGGCTCGGCAGCAAATCAGCTTCTCTCCATCATCCTCTACTTCCTGTATCTTGATGATCATGTCTAGAAACATCTCAGGAATGATTGGGCAATTGAATGACCGTAGCAGGTCCTTGTACAGCTCGCAGCAGTCAATCAGGTCGAAGTTCTTGTTGAACAGCTCTAGGCCTCTTTCCATGTTCACTCGCTCCTCAACGATGTCCTGGAGCAGCGAGTTCGCCGTTCTCAGTCTCTGATGAGTCGTATTCACGCGAAACAGCCCATTCTGGTCAAACTTCTTGCTCAATATAATCTTACCAATCAAATTCAGCTGCTTCGAGGCAGCAATGTTGTTCTCTTCAAAACTAAACAGAGAGGGCTCCATGTTTCGGGCAGCAATCACAATCTCCTCTACGCGGTAGAAGATCGTCCATACAAACTCCTGGTCCATTCTCCTGCTCTCCATAAAACTGATATTCTTCCGCAAATCAGCCTCGTGCTCCTTCAGGAACTTCTGCACATAGCGGCGCTGCTCATCGTTCCCAAGCCCGTTGAAGCCAGGCTGCTTCTTCGCTATTTTCTGCCTCAACTCATCTGGTTCCATGCTGTTCTGTTCTGTTTTGTTTATTTTTGAATAAATATTGGGATGATTGGCTGATTCAGTATCAAATAATCAGGGCTGTTTTACAGAATGAATAGGATATACAGGCTGATCAGAATGATACGGGTGCGATTCAGGATGATCAAGGAGAAGTTTGAGTGAGTCAGCTGCTCTACAGCGATGAAAGTATTCTGTACAGAATATCACTCATGTCATTTTCACCGTAGATTGTGATACTTTGCTGTAGGTTGCTTAGGATTTCAACCAGTCTCCTTTTGCTGCTATTGCCGTGTCTCATTTCGTAGGCGTATTCAAACAGATTGGCCCAGTTCTCGAATACCTCTGAATTAGTCAGGTTGTAGCTGTTGAGGAGTCCCCTGATTTGGTTATTGAATTTGCTGTAGAAGTCGCCAATGTCGTCTGATGGGACTGGGCTGATTTCAATCTCCTTCAGTTTGAACAGAATGAGCTGAATTGCCCTGCAGATTGTGATCTGTGTTTTATCAGGTGAATTTCTGTTTGATTCAAGAAGGGTGTCCATGAGGTGGGAGAGACCGTGGACTGTGACCAGAAACCGATTCAGAATTTTGAGTTCTGTGAATGTTTTGGATGAAAAAAAGTATTTCAGCAGGTTCGAACACACGCTGAAGCAGATTCTCTCCAAAATGCAGGCTGCCTTCTTCTGGTTCGAATTGGCCTTGTTTTTGAGTAGTCGAAGAAGGTAGCTTGTGAAGGAGTCCTCTGTGCTACTGACTTTGATTGTGCTACTGTTTCTGATTTTGGTGTAGTTTGAGACTTCTTCTACGACTGAATCATCCAGGTCGAGTAACTTCTGCTGGAATTCATCAAATAGTTCATCGTAGAATTCAACTCGTCTGAATAGAATTATGTCGTACAAAATCTGCTTCTCTTTCTCTAAATCAGGTCTGATTATTTGGTGCACCTTTTTGAGTAGATTCATTTTATGGGTCTTGATTCCATCAGGTGTCAGCTCCACGCATTTGTCTCCACTAATTTCCATTTCATAGGCTGTTCTGATCAGATGAACCAGTTTGCCACATTCAAGAACATCTTCAGCTATTTTATCATCCTTAAAGAATGCAATATCCAGTTTGAAGGTGGTGTCCCAATATGATGAGTAGAATCCATCAATTTGATCAATTCTGATGATGTGGCCTGGAATACCCTTATTGATCCAATTCATAACATCCTTACTGATACTATCCAGGTATTTGATCATGAAATACTCTTTGATTTCACTATGTGATGTTTTGCTTGTAAAGAACCTATAAAACACCTTTCTTTTATCGTATATCATGTCGTAGACCGTGTTCATATTGGCAGAATTCTCTTCATTATTCAAATTCAGTGAATTGTTAGCATATTCTTCAATGATTCTGCTGTTTTTGATTTCTTCCAATTCCTTGAAAATGGTCATGTCTTCTTGAAGAGCAACAAAGAGCTGTTCAACTGGAATTCCACTCTCTTTCAGATAAAGCAGCTTTTTGAAGAACTTTGCAATAAATGGCTCAAATTCACAAATATTCATGAATGAACGTACCTTGGTGATGAGAAATGCAAATGGTTCGACAAGGCTTCTTTCGATGTTTGATACGTGGAGTCTGTTGCTGAACTGGATGTTTACTGTCTCAAGACCGAGCAACGCGTGATAGAGCTCATCGAGTGCCAAGTCGTGTTTGAGTTGATGCATCTTGGGGTCTAAAAATCTAATGCTTTTATGCAAAATAGACTTAAATCTGACATTTTGTTTGTTTTACATAAAAGCATGGTTTCTGTACTGGTTCTAGTCCATTTTGCCTGACTTTCAGCCCATCATTTACGTTCTTTCTCAAACAATTCGTCATTTCTAAGCCCATATCGCATGCTGTTCTTGAAATTCATCCATTTTGCCTATGCATTCTATCTGAACACAGTCGTCCTCGATCTGGATGAAACACTCATTTCATCCGTCCATCCCAGTCAAATCTGTCGCTGCTGCATGTACAATGCCCGTTTCATTCTCGATAACCAGCTTCTCATGCATCCCAGATCCCACCTCCAACACTTTCTAGAAGAACTCACTAGCCTAAATCTACACATAATCGTCTATACTGCTGGAACACGGGACTATGCCATGGCAGTTACGAAAATAATTGACAAATCTAAGTTAATTAAGGAAATTTATTCTAGGGAAGACTGCGTACTATCAAATAGGGGACCCAACAACATCAGATACAACTACCTGGTCTACAACAAGGACGTTGAGAAGCACTATAGCAGCACCAATGGCCACTGTGACATATTTTTAGAAATGAATAAGAACCAAAATGGGTGCAAGGCCTGTCTCAAAAACGTCTTCATCAAGTACAACGACTACCTGATTCTTGATGACAATCTGGTCTACTCTGGTAACCAAAACAGCCACGTCTTCAAAATTAAGCCAAATAACAGACACCACAAGATGGATAAGGAGCTTCTTCTCATTTTGGAGTGCATTAAGCTTGTTAAAAGAGGAGTTATTCGAAAGAAGGATGCCATAAACCTGTATAAAAACAGGCGCATTGGATCCAGAATGGCACTGTTGCGGTACTTACGGTATCCACTGGTCTGAATCACCCTGAATATGAACAAGGACGATTTCAACGAGTGTGTTAGAAATCTGCAAGAAATCCAGCAGATTGTCTGTAGAACAATCGAGAGCATCGATAGCCTCGACATGGCCACGGCCGAGGAATTCAGGGAGAAGATCCAGGAGCTGTTCACCAGAATAAACAGGTGAGTCATTTTTCTTTTTTCAATTTTTACCCACATGAAGCTGAATATCGCTCATCCTGCTAATGGATCACAGAAGTGCGTAGAAATGTCGGCAAAAGAGGAACAGCGATTCTTTGGAAAGAAGATTGGAGAGCAGTTTGATGGTGCAATCATCAGCCCAGAATTCGAGGGAACTTTTCTCCAAATCCAGGGTGGAAACGACTACCAGGGCATTTGCATGGTCTCAAACCAGGAGACCACTAAGAGACTTCGACTGCTTCTCAAAGAGGGTGACATCGGCTACAAGTGCAAGAGAAGGGGCGTAAGAAGGAGGAAGACCGTACGAGGCAGCATGGTGTCCAACGAGACACAGGTGCTGAATCTGATTATTGTGAAGGAGAACAAACCAATTGAGGGACTCACTGACGTAGTGAAGCCACAGTCGCATCTGCCTAAGAAGGAGAGCAAGCTGTGTGCCCTACTGGGACTGGAAGCAGGCGCAAACATCAGGGAGCACCTCTCTAAGACGATGCCAGGGGAGAAGCTGCCTAACATTCGCATTGTTCGTAGAATAACGCAGAAGGAGCTGGAAAGAAGAGAGGCGAGGAAGACAGTCAGAGAGGCACGAAAGAAGAAGCTGGTTGAAGACATGAAGAGATACGAGGGTGTTCACGGTGCATTGAATTAAAGTCATTTATGCTTGACTAATATTAAGCTTAATCTCCTCTTCCTTCATTTCGTTATCCAAATCAGTAGCAACTTCTTTCATTCCCTGTTCAAACTGGGTTGATGCCAAATCAAGTAGTTTTCCACCCGTGTTTTCAAGAATGTGTCCTATCAGCTCAGCCTTCTCTTCTGGAATCTCGTATTCGCCCATTTCAAGGTGTTTTGAAACCAAAGTGCTGTATTTCCCACTAAAGTAGTCGGAATAGAAGTTGTTCTTTGATTTCTGCCCAAATCTCTTCATTGTGCTGCAACCACAGCATTCGTGCCTGAAGTCTATTCCACCCTCCTTGTTTCTGTAACTGCATTTGCCACATACACCACAAAATATATATTTCTCATTCTTACTCATTTCTACGCATAGTCCATTACAGTCGCACTTGAATCCATGAATCCCGTTATATTTCTCCCTATTTCTCTTTTTATGTAACTCGAATACAATGCACTTGCTTCTGCTATGAACTGCTGCTGGATCGTCATTTGTGTCCCAATTCTCCTTCTTGAAGTCGCAGTAGATGCATTTGGTCTTCTTGTTGCTGCAATACAGTCCACTCGATGCCATTTGGCCTATGAAGGCTGACTCAAACTTCCTAGGGAAATTAACAAATGTCTCGTATCGTGCCTGAAAGTCAAGCAACTCCTCAATCCCAGTCTCCTTCTTCCCCAGTCTCACCACAGGCTGTTTCTCTCCCTTTGGCTTTCTTCCTGTTTTGTTTTTCTTTTGACCTGTCATAAAATGAGGGGGTTATTTCACCTGATGATCCACTTCTTTGAAACACCCTCAGAATTCTGTTCAATTTCAGTTGCCGCCTTTTTACCCAATTTCACTCCAAATTGATCAAATGAACAACAGCCCCAATACACGCCTTCTACGAATATTTTGTGCTCGTAGATTCCCAGAATGAAACCAAGCACCTCTGGTGACAGCTTCGTGTACGCGATGGTTGTTGATGGCCTATTTCCCTTATGGTGCATTTTTGTTGCATTTGTGATGATTTCTCTAATTAGGTGATTTGGTGACTTCACTATTTGAGACAGATCAATGCCAGTATTTGATGTGATTGATTCCTTCAGCAATTTGATATCCACGTGATCATCAATTGCCTTATTCTTAAATGACTTATTGAATTCATTGGTGATTACTTCAATGGTCTCATCTGCATTTGCACTGTTTCCAAACCAGTGTGTTTTGGTTTGAGCTAAGCAGTTTGATATCAGAATATCATGGTGTTTTTTGATTGTATTGATCATATTTGGATATTTGTTGATATACTGGTTTTCTAGTGGAACAAGCATCTCCAAGTAGGATATGTTATCATTCTGGTGCAAGTACTGGAAGAAGGAGTGTTGTACGTCAGTTCCAATTCCACCCCAAACAATCTTCTGCCTTGAATACAATTTGCCATTTGATTCCATTTCAGCCTGTTGTAGATAAAATGGAAGCAAACTGAGATGCGAGTCATAGGATGCATAGCATTTGGTGGTGATTTTGTTGTAGTAGATTTCAACTACGGCTGCATGCACTGCTACACTCTCAATCTGATTTGTGAAGAAATCAATATCAGCCTGATGGGCTCCATTTAGAAGTCTGGTGAAGTTGTCGTATCCAATTCCTAGCACAATCGATAGGCCAACAGCAGACCACAGTGAATATCTCCCACAAATGAAATCAGCCATTTTGAATGTTTTGATTCTTATTCCCTTTGATTCCCGGAAATCAATAAATGCGTCTGTTTTCGATGTGACTGCTACAACCTGCTTTTCAATGACGTCATTGATATCAATTCCGACAGTCTGACACATTTCCAGAATCAGATTGATGTTATTCAATGTCTCAGTCGTGGTCCAACTTTTGCTTACAACAATGAAGAATGACTGTTCCATGATTTCTTGGAGAGACTCTCCTGCTTCTAGCAATAAATCAAGTTGTAGAAACAGATTGGATGAGTCTACGTTTGAGAAGAAGTAGACCGTTCTCTTCTTGTAGCAATGGAGGGCCGAATTGATCAGTTTTGGACCTAGATCAGATCCACCAATTCCCAGGTTGAAAATGTACTTGAACTTTCTTCCTGTCGCTGATCTCAGGTTATCGAACTCTTCTTCAAATGACTTCATTTCGTCTAGAACTCCTTCAACTTCTTTTCTAAATCCATCTGTATCAAATGAATCCGTTTTGCTTGAATCACTCTTAACAGCATCTTTATTAGGAGTCACTTTACCACGTAACAAATAGTGTAATTCAGGCAACTGCTCTGTGAAATTGACATTTCTTCCTAGATGCATTTCCATTATTCTTTTGCATAAATCCAGCTCAATAAGCTTGTTCTTGATTTCACCAGTCTCAGACTCAGTCAAATGTGTCTTGGTGTAGTCGTAGAATACTCTGTCTTCCTTGTTCACCATGAAATCGAATTCTTTGGTTCTCAGGTTCTTCTTTTCTTCTTCTACCATAATATGGGTTGTTTATTACGCATATATTTATGCAATATATCATAATAAGCATATTCACAATTTAGTGAGTAAATTTATACAAGTCATCCATTGATAATACTGCTGTATATGTTGTATCCGACTTGTAATTGATGTATGTTTCTAGTTTTAGCGCATCTCTTGCTCTCTTCTTCATTTTCAGAAAGTATACGGCCAATCCAAAGTGGTTTGACATCATTAGGTGGTTCCTGAATAGCTCAAAGTAGTTCTTCTTCACACCGTTGTCTATATTATCGTACTCCATTTGATTCAATTGCTCTACCATTCGTGAATTGTACTCTATTTTTGAAACTGTCTGTATTTCTCTTGGTAATACTATTTTAACCAGATTGATATTTGCCATATAGATCTGAACCACGTTGTCTTTGATTCCACCAGTGAGCCAGATAGCATCTGCAGTAAGCGATAGCTTTTGACTTGTCAAGAAGTTGAACAAGGTGTTGTTCTGTACAAACCTGTACATTTTAGTATTGAATGGAGTCGAAAGCCACACATTTTTCCTATTGGCCATGAATCGAACCTCTACTGGTGAGAAAATGTAGTAGGCGAGATCATTCAGAAACTGCTTGAATGACCCGATCTTCTTTGCTTGCACATTCAGTAGCTCCTTCGCGAGTATCTCCATCTTCTCGGCCTTGAATGTCTCAGCTGAAATGTTCCTATTTGCTGGATATACGAAGGTTGGGCCTGTTTTCAGTTTCACAGTGATGGAGCCTTCTTGCGGGTCGTACAGGATTCCCTGGTAGAAATAGCCACCAAAGTTGCGCTTACCCTTAGTCATAGAGTGCGTGAACACCTTGAATAGTGGCAGATCGTCCTTGTCTAGTATGTTGATCTCACCTACATTGTTGAATGTGAATAGCTTACCTTTGGCATTCTTATTTTTATAGTACACTCTTCTCATTCCTCTTCCTGTAAACGGCCCTTCATTCTGTACGTGGAATACCGGTGTCTTTATGTATAGAATTATGAATGCCAATACGCATGCACCAAAGACGATATACAGAATTCCCATTGAATTTTTATCGAAATTTTTCTTCATAAAGGGCTGATAAAGGATCGTACAAATCATGATTTGATATTTTGACACGGAGTGATTCATGGCATGGTTATCGATCACTACTCCTGTTTCTCAATCAGAATGTATTTGTACATGATTTTAGTGCATTTGGTTGTTTCCTTCTCATTTTTATTAATGCTACACATACTGGCAGCGGATTCACTCTTTTCTATCACATAAGTCTTCTCACCAATCTTAAACTCCTTTCCAATTTCTATTTCACCAGTCAGTTCTTTTATATCCATTCCTTTCGGTATCTGAATCACACTTTCATTTTTCATGGGTGATTGTTTTCACTATTTCAAGAGATCACTTACAATAAGTCTGTCGTTTTTGATTCGAATTATCCCACAATACAGCAAACTTCGTATTGCTGCTTCTGTTTCTTTACTGGTTATAGCTTCTACAACATCCCCTATCACCTTATATCTTCCATCTGAGATACCCTGAAATATTCTAGAAGCAATGCATTCTTCACTCAAGTATGCCTGTGGATTGGATAGGGATGTCTTAATTGATGCATAGATGTCAGGACATAAAGTTGTTTGTAGTCTTCTTTCTACATCTGTCTCTTCTGACTCTTTCTTGTCAAATTTCCTTCTTATTTTTTCTTCATATTTCAGATAGTTCTTGCCTCGTTTAAAATCGTTATTGTGTTCTTTCACAGTGTATTCATCTTTAATCACATACTGTAGGTTTCTAAAGTGCTTCATTTTGTACAAGAAGTGTTCCATATTTTTCACTATAAAAATGACCTTCTTTCTTGCCAGTCTGCCCTTATCCATGGTATAGATTTCCTTAAATGCCTTCAATGTCACTGTTCCCGTTGTAAAGACTAATGCGTATTCAGTATTCTCCTCTATACTTCTGTACATCCTGTCATCCGATATTACTTCTCTTTGAGTTTCATTCAAACTGCTACAAATTACAATTTTCATTTTATAGGGTCTTAAAGAGTGTTTTAAGGAATGAACCAAAAATACGATAGACAGTCTCTAATTTACGCCCTTACTGACCAGAATAAAGGATACCACCACGTAATCTCAGTACCAAGTGCAGTGTGCTCTCCTTCTGAATGTTATAGTCGCTTAGCGTCCTGCCATCTTCAAGCTGCTTTCCAGCAAAGATGAGCCTCTGCTGGTCTGGTGGAATTCCTTCCTTGTCCTGAATCTTTGCCTTTACGTTCTCGATCGTGTCACTCGACTCCACTTCCAGCGTGATTGTCTTTCCTGTCAGCGTCTTCACAAATACTTGCATAACAGGGGTAAATAAAAATATTTATAAGGAGTAAGAGAAAACAAATAAAGAGATTGTATTGATTTGTTTTGACGTGTCTATTACGGATCTGATCACTTGTGGTCTCTAATGCTCTGGCTATAACTTGAATTCCTTAGGTCAAATACTTTTCTCAATTTTTACCCCAATGACTCTTGGACTGAAAAAGAAAGTTGTGAAAGTGATCAAGCTGACTGAGGAGCAGAAGATTGCTCGAAAGAAGGCTATTGAAAAGAAGATCAACAAGCTGAAGAATGCGGTGAAGATTCCTGGACCAATCAACCAGTTCAAGACCTTTTTGGATAAAGAGGATGAGAAGACCGTTTTGGACTTCCTAGGCAAATTCAAGCCAGAGACCAAGAAGGAAAAGAAGGAGCGTCTTTCTAAGAAGAATCCAAATGAGGGCCCTAAGCCAACTTTGCTCAAATTTGGTTTGAAGCATATCATAAGCTTAATTGAGCAGAAGAGACTCAAGTTCCTTATGATTGCTGCTGACGTAACACCAATCACCACAGTCTGCTTTCTGCCTACGCTATGCAAGAAGTTTGGTTGCTCTTACGCCTTCATTGACATGCAGTCACGATTGGGTGAATTGGTTCATCTGAAGAGATCTGCTGCAGTTGGCCTCGAAGACGTCGATTCAGAGCATCAGGCTGCCCTTGAGAACGTGTTTCGCATTGCTAACGCAAAGTACGCTGATTTGTATGAGACTCATATGACTACAATTGGTGGAAATGTCAAGAAGGTGAACACCCTTGAATAAGTGAAATGAATAAAGCATTTTAACTGTTGGATGGTAGGTTAAGAATGTGCACAAAATGGATTTATTTGGTTATTTGTTGCAGATGTGCTACTATCTGCTTTCGTTGTTCCTTTGTAATGTGATTGAATGTGTATATTGCATCAATTAATGCATTTGTCTCTACACTTTCACTACATTTCTCCTTGAATTCTTCATATGCCATTTCCTGATTCATTTCTGTCGTAAAAATCAATACTGCTAGGAGCAAATGTGTTGAATTGTTGATTTGAAGGCCACTGTTGATGAAATCAGTCACTGTTTCCACGTCCTTGAAGCCTGTTCTGATATTGCACAAATCCTCTTTTTCAACTTTTTCTCCATTTTTTGTTTCCAGAATCGCCAACTTGTATTCTGTGAGACTCTTCAACTCCTTCACACTCAATTTGATCAACTTATCATCAACTTGTATCAAATGGTTCTTTTTAGCAAAATCATCAGGTAATCCAGGAATATGATTGTAGTTGATTTGATTCAGTGTCGAATCATCCAAATGCTTTATCACATCATATGAATCAAATTCAACCAACTCAAACTGCTTTGAAATGTTCTGAATTCCTTTTTCTTCCTTTTCATTCTGTACTATTTTTATTGCATTTGTAATCATCACATCACGCATCTTCCAAAGCTTGTTCTCTGCCAATGCATGCATCTTGCCATTTATCTCTACCATTTCTGTCACATTCTGTTTCCCTCTGATTATAAAATACGATTCAGTCATTTTAGGTCAATTTGCTACTGTAGTTATTTATTACTGTAAATCATTCTTGTTGTATATCAGCCCAATATAGAAGTGTTCTGCACTGGTTTCAAGCAGAATGTTACCAGCCAGAAAGTCAATGCCGACTGTCATGGCATATGCTGCATCAAGAAGCATTCCATTAGTGAATTTGCCATCAAATAATTCTGATACGTTTTCTATAGACGCCAATCCCTTGAAATTCAGCTGATTGTTGGTCACGAAGACGAATGGAACTGGAACATGGAGCAAGGTCTCATAGAATGCGTCGTAATCTGTGTTAGAATTGCTCTGTTTGATAGCAATATTCTTCTTAACACTTGATAGTGGCAATACACCGCAATAGAATCCATTTGATTCATTTACGGTAGCAGCAATTTTATTTGAAAGTGGCGTCTTTGAGTATAATCCATAGACGTACAGCTCATGATTCTGCTTATAATAGTTCAATACAGTCTGATCCTGCTCCTTGAATCGCGCATACAGCTCTGGAAACACTGAATTTGAGACTGTTCTGCCTTCGAATAATTTTCGAACATTCACCATTTTATTGGGGGATATTCTGGTTGAATTGAATTAGGCAACAATAAAGTGGTGAATATTTTACTCTCTGGATCCAAAATAGTACAATGCTGTACAAATTAGAATCAATTCCCTCATAAATGGAATAGAACTGATCCAAATTGTTGGCATTCCAAAGAAGGGCACGTATCCCAGTACAGTCGTCTCCATGTCCTCTGGATTCAGAACCTTCTGTCCAGGCCTATAGAGAGAGACGTCATCACCTGCGTTATTGTCACCTTTGGTGAGACACTGGTTTGTGGTCATGTCTTCTTTTATGACCCTATGCACAATTGGAATGGATCCACGCCTGATTGAATAGACGGAGGTGTCTCCAACATGAAATGGTCTGCTTCCATCTCTCGACCTGTGTCCTAGAAGCAAAATGTCTCCTCTTTTGAATCCTGGCTCCATTGACTGCGTCAACACACAGACAATTGGAGAGTCGTTCCTATAGACGCAACAGAATGCTTTCCACGTGAAATAGGACCCAATCACAGAGTAAGAGGCGCTGATAGACTGCTTGATGCTCTGTCTCAAGTTCAAGTTTCTAAGACCAAACAGCATTCAGGGTTAAATAAGCTTAAATCACCCAATTTATTAGTAGTAGGTTGCATCTTCTGCTGCAACATAGTTGCCCATGATTCCGTAGTCCTGGAGCATTCTCAGTGTTATTGGATCCACGTCCATCTTGTCTACGTCCATTACGCCCTCTGATGGGATGAATGACTCTTTTCGCTCCTTTTCCTCCTCATGCGCCTTAATGTGCACGTTCTTCACCTCTCCCTTCTGAATGCGCTTTATCAGGTGTGTGATGTATCCAGCCACGCAGTTTCTTGTCTTCTTGTTCTGGGTGACTGTCACGTCCTTCACCAGTGCCAGATTGTTCTCGAAGTCTACGCTGCATCTGCTGAAATATTTCTCTACAACGCTCTTTGCTGCGTTCTTGATGGCTCTTCCTCTAATCTTTCCCATGAATGGGATAAAATTTTACTAAAATTCTCTGATTATTTACTAAAATCCACTGTACCTATTGTGTGTGATATAGTTCTCAGCCTTTGCTATCTCCTGTCTCACATCCACTCCCATGGTCTCTGCTATTCTGTACCACCACAATGCCTGTAGCACATCCCGGTCTATCGCACTACCAGCGTAATAAATGTCTCCTAATGCAACCATTCCAGTCGTGTTTCCTGAGAATGCTGCCTTCTCCAAGAATGAAACACCAACGGATCTCTTTCCCACCTTTGTCACAAGCTGCCTGCCTATTTTAACCTGTGCGTCAGACTGGTCCAATGCCGCTGCCTCTGCGTAATATTTGTAGGCCATTTGCATGTCTCTTGGCACAGTTGTCCCCTTCTCGTGGAATTCGGCTACCATAAACATCGAGTGCTTGCATCCCAGCTTTGCCCCACGAAGAAATATCGTATAGGCGTAAGGCATGTCCCGCATCAGTTGACTATGGTTTATCATGTAAAGGGTTCCAAGGTGGTAGAAGTATGGGCAGTTATGGATGAATATTGGGTTATTCTTGGTCTTCTTCTCCTGTTTCAGTTCCTTCTCCTTTGCTAGCATTGCTTGTCTCATGTAATTTAGCCCTAGTGGCACTTCGTCATTTTTTAGGCAGATTAGCGCGTACCTGTAGAGACCCTTAGGGTAGCCAAGTTTTGCTACCCCCCTGTACAGTACAACTGCCTTTTTTGGGTCTCGATCGCATCCAATCGCAAATTCATTGGCTCTGGCCAAATTGTACAGGCCTGGCGCATGTCCTTTCAGTGCTGACGTGTTGAATGCCTGATAGGCCGCCTTCACGTCCTTTTCCATCCCAAATAGACCATGTTCTCGTATGACTCCATACGCGTTGTCCCGAACTGGCTCCTTTTCGTGCCTATTCAACCAGTCCATTATGGTCGAATAGAACTCCTTTAGCAGGTTCACTACCACAGTTCTACTCATATTCGTCGAGCTTCCTTCAATTGTCTCATTTATTATTTCTATGATGGCAGAGCTATTCGATGACTGGGAGTGGAGCGAATCGCTGCTATTCTCCTCAGATGACATCGTAAAGAGTGCACTTGGATTCGTCTTATTGGTGTATTTTGTAACATTCGTATTTTCAAGGAAGTTGCCTGTTTCAGTCTTCTTCATATCCATGCTATTATCAGAAAAGAGGTCATCAGTGATCTCCAAGTAGTGCTCGTCCTCTATATATTTCTCGATGAAACTGGCAAACTGCTCTTCTGTGGCCAGGTGATTCTTGAATTGAGCAAACACAAATCGTTTGTTCATTAAGGGGCCTCCTGAGAACAAGTTATCATAGGGGCTAGGATTCGTTAAAACAAAAATCAGTGTATGAATTTAGTTATTAATGATACCTTGGGTTATTTCTATTTTATGGAACCTGATTCATATTACCTATTTGTTTATAGTCAACTATTCAATCATACTAATACCATTAATGATGGTTTTAGACTACTATATGACCTAATGAATTTCTAAATTGATCTGTTACAAAACTGTTTATTCTTTGAAACATTGTGTCTTAAAGCGATTTCAGCCAAAACAAACATGATTGCCAGCTTCCAGAAGATTGTTGAACTATCATTCGCAACGACGTACCTGTTTAATCAAATTGGAAAGGATAAGGCAAGAAATGGACTTGGTAAGACAATGCTACTGGCATCAATTATGTGCATATTGAACTCAGTTCTACTAATGCGCTATAGCGAATTCAATGAGACTATCGTCATTTACGAGAGAATCCTGAATGTGGAGAGTGTTGCAGAGGCAGTCTCACAGATTGGGGAGATGCTGTTAATCAGTGCTGCATTCTACACAAACCATTGCATCATAGCAAAGATTTACGGATTGATCAGAATACCAACACTCGTTTACCTGGATACGGCTAAACACGCATTTGATGCAGAATTTGTTGCATTTCTGACTAATTTGATCTATGGAATTGAGCTTGTTGTGGCTGGGCTCTTTATTCTGCTCAATCCAGTCTGGTCCAACAAGAAGGTGAAGAATGGTATGAGTCTGATGGCACTGTACATGGTATATGGATTCATGAACTATTTGGTAACACTATTCAAGCTACCATTTACGATTGAAGCAGATAATATGAGAGCAATAAACGTAGTAGCAGGTGTGATTAACACCGTACTATACTTGTTGATGGGAAACTCACTATGCCATTCAACACATAAGCAGATTTGCACGATTAAGAATCCAAATAAAATAGCAGAAAGTGAAGAGGCAAAGATGCAGGCATTAATAGAATTCAACGAAAAATATTAACGAGATATGGATAGAATAAATTTATAATTACAGTTGTTGTACGGTGGTTCGTCATGTCCATGCTAAAGACTACGACAATCCAGCATTCATCAACATCAATTCACTATTTTGCACATAAGACACTACAAAAACCAATTTCTATTACTTTTTAACAATAAAATACTAAAGAATTACTTACACATCTCATACAATACTGTTTTAACTATAATAATTTCTGTATTGTGTTGTTTTAGTACTCTTTGCACACATTACGTTCATAAGAAGCATATTTACCTGAAAACAAAGAGACAGCCATGTTCCTGTTTTTACACACCATCATCACCATTCACATATAAAGAACTATGAGAATGTCACAGTTATCCTGCTTGCTACAAACTCAAAAATATCGTATTGAATACTTCCGCAATCAACCACACCACAATATTACTTGATTTGTTGGGTTGAAGCAACTGATTGTTCATATTATCACTAAAAATGCCACTTTCACCATTAATTTGAGTTTCTTTTACAATCTTATAGTTCATTCTTCTTTCTATATTCCATGTCACTCTTGATATATAAATTTAGCCTTAATAAAACTGTTGTTACTAAGGTTCTTTGTCCTTTCTACTACATTAACAACGTATTTTGTCATCCTTAAATGTATCATGTTTGCTCATTTGTATTACTCTTCTTTCCTTGTTACTTCAATCAGTTTCTACTTTTTGATAATAGTGCGTGTATTGTCTATTGACGACTCCGGTTTCATTCTTATGATTCTCAAAATATTGCTTCCCTTATAGTCAATGTTTGATAGAAGTGACACTTTTAGTGATGTCACGAATAGTCACTGCTTATATTCAACAGATAGCATGGTGAGCAATATTGAAGCATAGTCACCAACTGAACTTGACATATTATGTATCAACTAACGACTATTTAAAAATTTCCCCTAATTGCCCTTGTAATATGATGTTAGTTGTTTGGTCATGGATGATTCATTTGCTTGATGTAAAGTGTGATGAACACGCAAATTACCAGAAACTCAAGAGTGAATACGATAAGTTAAAAACTGCTGATACAATGAGCCCCTCCAAAAAATATCGTGATAAGGTGGTGATATTTCCTGATGTCAAATGGAATGACAGTATTGTTAAAATTGAGTTGACAGAGATAAACAACATTGACAATAACATAAAAACGGTTAATGAGTTAAGAACAAATACTTCTCTGATAAACATGATAAAGAATAGAGTTATCAGGTTCCTGACAACTAGCGCGTATCAAGAGAACTCAAATAAGGCTGACATCATGAACTTCTTTACTACTGACCGCTGTACTGTAAAGGGATTCGAGGCAGCCATAACGCAACTAAACGCATCGATAAAAGGAATAAAAGAAGGAGATGTAGTAACGCGATTTATGCAGGAAGAAGCAGCAAAGGCAATAATCAAATTGGGAAAGGATTGCAAGTTAACAGCAAATGAAAAGAAAGAAGAACTGGAAAGACATTTCCTGCGACTACCGTATTTAAAGAAATTTTGTGATGAAATTGATAACACGAGCGAAGTCATTACTTATATGTATATGACATTTACAATTGGGAACAAAATGATGAAGTCGGAGATAATAACAGTAACAAGAAAGGAAGGAAAAATACAAGCGATGCATGACCTGGAAGAGTATGAGATGAAAATAACACCAAAAAGGGCAGCAACAATAGAAGAACCACCTAAAAAGAAAGAAAAATTAAAGAAGAAAGAAACAAGAGTAAAGCCACAACAAAAGAAAAAAACACCAAAGAAAAAAACATCAAAAAAGAAAGAAACATCAAAGAAGAAAGAAACATCAAAGGAAGAAACATCAAAGAAGAGCAAAATATTCATGACCATTATATTGGTTGCTATGGGTATAGCGATATTGTCAGTAGGAACATTAATATTGATTAAGAAAAGAAAAATCACAGAAGTACCAGTGGACCTTTGAATAACGTGAGAAAGAAATAAATAGGGTAATAAAGGATTATTATTGCTCTGCATATTGTTCCCAAGTTAAAAGAAGTGTTTAATCAAAATCGAGGTGTTACAAACGTGGCTAAATTAGCCATTTTGGCCATTTTTCCTGTTTCTTTCTTAAGCATTTCTAGTGGAAAAAGTGTCCTATGAAGCATTTTAATCCCTAATTTTAGGTTTGAAAACCCCCAAAAACAAGATTGCGTTTCAAGGTAACGTTGCTACTACGATAATTACATCGAGAAGAGATTTTATTGAAAAAGATCATGTGAAGATCCAATTGTAACGGCAGTTCATGTTCTGGCCGCGTCTAGAAGGGAATAACAAGCACGAGATCGAGAAACAGTGAAAACATTAAGGATTGCAAGCCTGGTAATAATAGAGTGATAGAGGATGAGTTGAAAATAATGCTCTAGAAATCTGTTGATATTTGTGGACGATCAGGCCATTAATAAGACTCAAAGTACCTGGTCCACTGGCACCAGATGAACAATCAGACTAGTTTACGTAAAAGGATCAAGTTAGTGATCAGTAAACAAGGAGTATAATCATACACCTTGATTATGGTATTGGCTATTTAAGGAAAATATGCAAAGGGGCGTTACCTCAATAAATGACTAGAGCTAAGAAAGATCAAGCTAAGAATATTAACATTAAGGCTTATGAAGAGGTGTCAGACACCATGACACCTCTCGATCCCGACGTCACCGAGGAAACAAGCTTTAACAATAATAGTTTTAAAATCGAAGCACATTAGTCATGCTTCTTCTATAAAAGCATTTATTTTTTGCATTCTACAATTACCTTATTTGTAGCCGGAAAGAATAGCGTTACAATTAATGAATCTTTGAGCAGTGTAATCATGGAGTACACTATGCTATAAACACCGTCAAATTTTACGATTTATCTGTTAAACATCCTGTTATCATTAATTGTGCCATATTTACTCCTTTCTATTGACTCTTATTGCATCGATTAATTTCCTGAAAAGTTGACAGTATAATTAAATTGGTTATGGTATGACTCATAGCTGAATTGACCAAAAAACTTGCCACGGTCCGGTCCGCATAGCGTGTCCCGCATTGCTAGTAGAGCCTCTGGCCCTGTTCGTATCGTTTCTCCTTCTAACATGTGGTCCTCGGAGGTCTCGTCTGGGGCATTGCTCGGCGGCTCGTCTCGCGCCTCTGTCTGAGGTGTGTCAGGCATGATCAGTTCCTCAGTTTCGCTGTCTGGTTCTTTCAACTATTCTTGGCATATTTTTGGTAAGAAATTTAGTAACATTGGATGATTAGATGATGGGGTAGAATTTTTACTGTTTTCCCCTAGTTAATGGCGTAATTTCGGTCTACGACAACGACTCAACTTAATAAGTCGCATAACATAAAGGACCCTCTTTATTTCCCAAATCGGCCCAATCCTTTTACCTCGCATTGGAAAAAAGGGACCTGAAAATGAAACAGGGGTAATAAGATCATGATCTCCTAAATCTACCCCTATATTGAAATGATACCTATTCGATTATGGATGTTTTATTTTCTTGGGATACAGTGTGCAGAAGATAAAAATTACAAGACAATCAAGGCTGAATATGATAAGTTAAAAGATATTGAAACGATGAGCCCCTCCAAAAAATATCACGATAAAATTGCGCTATTCCCTGATATTACATGGGACAACGATATAGTCAAGATTTCTATGACAATCATAAGCACCAAAAAAAACGAGTTAAATACAATTAACATTGGAGACAATACGACTACATTGAGAGAAAAAATGAAAGCAGAAATCATCAAATTGGTGACGACTTATGACGCAGACGAGGAAAAATCTAAAAAAAAGATTGCCTACTTCTACAATAACGACAATACAACAGAAGAGGAATTTGATGCAGCAATAGAACAGTTAGAGATGGTAGCAAAAGAAAAGGAACAAAAAGACGATCATAAGAAATGCTTGTTGTTTGAAAAAGTAAGAAAAGAAACCATAAAAATGGGAAAGAAATGTAAGTTATCTGCAAAAGAAAAGCAAAAAACATTGATTAATCAATTATTGCAATTTCCATACACTACATCAATTTTCACTGGAAAAGATAATATTGATGTTTGTACATACACATATGTGGTATTTACAGTTGGTGGCAAATTAACAAAGTCTGAGATAATCAAAGCAACAAAAAAGAATGGAGAAGAGCAAATAATACATGACCTGGAGGAATATGTTGTGAAAATAACAAAAAAGAAGACTACAGAGGTGACAACAAAACCAGAAGTAAAGACAAAACCAGAANAAATGGGAAAGAAATGTAAGTTATCTGCAAAAGAAAAGCAAAAAACATTGATTAATCAATTATTGCAATTTCCATACACTACATCAATTTTCACTGGAAAAGATAATATTGATGTTTGTACATACACATATGTGGTATTTACAGTTGGTGGCAAATTAACAAAGTCTGAGATAATCAAAGCAACAAAAAAGAATGGAGAAGAGCAAATAATACATGACCTGGAGGAATATGTTGTGAAAATAACAAAAAAGAAGACTACAGAGGTGACAACAAAACCAGAAGTAAAGACAAAACCAGAAGTAAAAACAAAACCAGAAAAAGAAGAAGAAGAAGCATCAAGGAAGAACATAATATTGCTTGTTGTAATGTTGATTATTGAAGGTATTGTGATAGCAGCAATGATAGCAGCAATATTGATGAAGAGACATAAAAAGAAGATCGCATAAGAATTAGAGCAACTAGAGTAACATCAAAAAATAAATAGTGGACATAAACAATTATTTGTCATACGATAGCTTGTTAAAAGCGAAGCGTTTAACTAAAATGGGCGACACTTATTTTGAAATCTGAATAATTGTGAATGAATAGTCCGCTATTTTTGGAACTATATTATCATTGTANAAGAAGAAGAAGCATCAAGGAAGAACATAATATTGCTTGTTGTAATGTTGATTATTGAAGGTATTGTGATAGCAGCAATGATAGCAGCAATATTGATGAAGAGACATAAAAAGAAGATCGCATAAGAATTAGAGCAACTAGAGTAACATCAAAAAATAAATAGTGGACATAAACAATTATTTGTCATACGATAGCTTGTTAAAAGCGAAGCGTTTAACTAAAATGGGCGACACTTATTTTGAAATCTGAATAATTGTGAATGAATAGTCCGCTATTTTTGGAACTATATTATCATTGTATAACTAACATTTATAGGGTTTTTCGATCTAGTTCGTTAATGTTGCAATCTAGTTCGTCAATGTTGCAATCAATTTCGTTTTTTTGCAATCAATTTCGTCAATCCTATTTGTACCTTATTATGAAGAATAAAAATAAAAAACATATCAGACTATTAAACCCCAATACTCTTTAATTAACCTTTGATCATTCCAGTATCTGGTCTCGATTGACCGACTTGTTATGATAACTGATCATTTTGCGGTAGAAACCTTCGCAAATGTCGTTATCTAAGTTGTTGAAGGTTGTCGCAATGACTTGCTTCAGGTTCGCCTCCGACATACACTCCGACCCACTGACCATATTCTTCCAAACGGAAAAAACGTTTTCAATAGGATTTAAAAACGGAGAGTAAGGAGGGTGATAGAGGGTTTGAATCCACAACTCATCAAGGACTGACGTAAGATCACGATAACGATGAATCGCCGCGTTATCCATGATAAACGCGGGATTAACAATCTGTCTGGTATGACAGTGTGCCTTTAACTCAATGAGAGCGCTTTTAAACGACTCACCGTTAAAGGCACAGTTTTGTACACTGTGGAACAAAACCCCTTGTTTGTTGCACGCTGCCACAACATAAATGTTTCTACTCCTGGCAGCAGAAACAAAAACGTAAGCAGACTGACCACGACGGGAACGAGCTCTCTTAGGACGAGTAACAACCTGAAAACCAACCTCATCAACGAAGATAAAGTTTTCAGGATTGATTGTTTCCTCGTATCTCCTGTAATTGTTTGCGTACACATATCTTGATTCTATGGTCCGCGCACAATTACGAGGAGCAGGGACGGGATACGCACGTTTAAGGGTAAAATGAAATTCTCTTAAAATACGATCAACAGTACTCACAGAACATGAGATACTAAACGACTCGTAAATTTTCCTTTGAAGTGCTTTCAAAGTCAAAAGAGAATTACCATCTACCCATGCGCAGACCTCTTCCTTTTGTTCATTAGACAAAAGAGAACGATGGTCACCGCCCCTGGGAGCAGGAACTTCCTCACCCGTCTCACTGTAACGCTTACAGATCGACGCAACGGAAGAACGGGCTACCATTAACGAAGTCGCTATGGCCGTTATTGTCTGCCCAGCATTGTAGGCATTAATAACGGCCTGGCGCATATCCGAAGATATTCTTCGATAAGGTCCCCTCGTGGTTCCCGTCGGGGTCGCTGCTTCCAAAACTGTATCAACAGGATCAGTTGCAGCGTGCAACAAAGGACCAGGCAAGTCAACAACAGAAGAAACAACAGGGCCGTTTTCCTCGGTGACAGCCACACCATCCTCTTTATTCATGTCGGCTATGGCTATTTCTGCAGCCACAACCGTTGTTTCCACATCATCTTTCTCATCAGGTTTTTTCATTCTAATTAACATAGGGTAAAAACTCTTATTTCTATTTTTAGCTTTAACGAAATTGATTGCAACATTGACGAACTAGATCGAAAAACCCTATAATAATCAGACTAAAAAGTTTGAAATATTAAATAATTGTCTGTAGCATCAGGAACAAAAATGTTACAGCATTTTATACTAACATACCTTTGTATATTTAATCAGTGCAACTATATGCTGTTGAAAGCAAGTTCATGTTTGAGATTTTAAATGTTTTTGTAAGTTATGAGGAATGAAAACTGCAGAAACCTTCGGAAATTTAAAATAATTTATTAAATCATTTTAACAAGACTAAGTAAATTGCGTTTGACCAGGCTTAGTTTAAATAAATA